ACTTACTTTTTTAAATTCATAATCGGGGCTTGACGCGACGCGATTACACGTAAATAGTACTTACATACCTGATTTTTATTGCCGACATTACTGTGACTACACGTGGTTCAAACCATGTTGTGGTTACGGTAGGATTTAGCACTTTCACTTTTGGCAGGCCGCGCAGTTTCTTCGACTACCCTCAAAATATCACTATTGTCGTTATTTTATTATCCTCAGCTAGTACCTATGTAAGGAGATTGAACTTAGGAAATATCAGAAAAATCTCAATAAAGAAGATAGATATAAGCTTTCAACAGTATGGAAAATGTGAGGGTGGCCGAAGATACAACGCAGGCTACCAAATAATGCCTTGATAATGACATGGTACAAATCACTTTAAAACGTCTTCAATAAAAATTATGTACGTAGATGTTAGTTACCTGTAATTGTGTTGTATTAACTCCCAATTGTGACTTCAAAATATGTGTAAAGAAGGCGAGTTTAAAATTAACTAATTATTTTTTGTAAATAGAAAGATAGGTAAACATTAACAGTAAGTAAATAAACATACGTAACTAAGATTACTACAAACAAACATATGAATAGAAACTATTTTATTGCGCTGAGTTTTATGATTCATTGAACAAATAACTACTTTTTATATCAATTTATTTATGTATGATTATTTCATATCACTTTTTTTTTTGTTTTAGGTATATTACCAGTTTTTTTTAAATAAATTGTCAAAATTGTTTATTAAATATGCATAGTATAATAAACGCCTACCTATGTGCACAAGGCAAAGTACAAAATTAATTTTAGAAGTCATACTGTGTATCCTTGGGTAATTCACAGTGTTCTTATGTGTAGTTAATGGTTTTTGCGCTAATTAAGGCTAATAGCTTGACCAGAAAAAAGCCTGTATGCTATACTGTTGTACAATAATACTCCTATAAGATTTTAAACTTGTATGATATGGAATTACTTATTTTCATGTTTTTGATATATTTTTTGGATAAATATAATATTTTGGATACCATTAAGAACAGGTTTTATAAGAATAATTATTGAGAACTACATACATACATACATACATATCTGTCACGCCTGTCTCCCATTAGGGTAGGCAGAAACAATGGAACGCCAAATGCTTCGATTCAAACAAACCTCTTTCGCTTCTTCCACATTCATCAATCTTGTCATACACGCTCGTCGGTTACGGGTACTTTTAATTTGGCCCTTCTTCAGCACGTCGCCTATTTGGTCGACATACGTCCGTCTAGGGCGGCCCCTACCGACATCTCCATTCATTCTTGCTCGATAAATCTCTTTCGTAATTCTTCTTTCATCCATCCTCTCCAAATGACCAAACCAACGCAACATTCCTTTTTCAATTTTTGTCACTACATCGTCTTTCAGTCCACACTTCTCTCTAAGAGAATTGAGAACTAATATAACAATAATACGGATTTCTGACAACATTTACAAGATAGCAACACTGTGTGTTATAAAAAATTTGTTACATTCAGAGCCGTAAAATATATTAATAAAAAATAAATTAATAAAAAATCTGTTCTATGACAGTTCGTTCTCTTATCCCTTGGTTATATACTCTTTCATTCTGCATAAAATTAAGGAAGATAGAGAGTTTTTCCTATGATATTAATATAGTAATTCCGATTATAATAGAAAGAATAAACACGACTAACAAAGGAGAGTCTTTTATTAATATTTACGTACCTCAACAATAACTATATCTGTTAATTTATTTATTGAGAACCCATCTAATATTTTATCAATCTTGGTTGTTGTTTTAAATCATTACAATCTATAGGCGACGGTTACCACTTTCCATTAGGTGGGCGGTCAGCTTGTTTGCCATTCTAAGTTGCATTAAAAAAAATTACAAGTATTATATTTTGACCTTTAATACTAATTGTATATTGACATCTTTTTAATCGACTTTGGGTACAAAACCAACAAAATAGGTTCAGAACTAGCGAAGAAATACGAGTATATTATAATATACACACAAAAAATACAGTCAAATAAAAAATCTCCGTCGGGCCTCGATCGGCCGATATATACTGCGATACGTTCTACGATGAATTTATAACATATGTAATTTAGTAACTCGTAGAATAAGTTTGGTCGTTAACACATTGTCCGCTGAGTTTACTTGTTAAATACATGATGGGGGCTATTATTTAAATTTCTCATTATATACAATACGTCTACTCTGCAATTGTGGTCCTAAACAAACTTTCAATAAACTTTGTTTTCTTCAGTTATTAATTGGGTATATTGCTGAATAATTCTTCGAATGATCACTTAGTATTCCAACAATCGTATCCTACTCGTTCTTGTCATGGTTACTTTTTATGTACACGTGGAATGAAAAACAAACTGACGACCAACCTGATGAAAAGTGATAACCATATATGAGTATAGGCCACAACATTGGCAACACTATTACACCCATGGTAATAAAACAGTTTCATGTCAACTTAACTGCATAAATACGAAATTCCACTTAAGATTTATTTTTTTAAATAATTTAATTATACAGAATTTTAATAAAAATATTAAATACAAAATACAACAAAGCAAATACTCAATAGATTTGTATATTAGAAATAATCCGCTTGAAGATAATTTGATTTTGTAATAGAGATGTGAGTTTAATTCTATTACTTCCCTGTACCTACCTACCTAATACCTGTCCGAAACCTTCGCAGATACATCTCAATATATACATCAATAACTAAGTAATTTTTAAACAAACCTTCTTAAACTTAACAGCATTATGCACACTGTTTAAATGTGTTTAGGATAGTAACAGTCCGATTGTTAGCTTCGCGTGGGATTAAGATGATGTGAAACTGCTTTCAGAACCAGCAAACTAGTTTCCAATAGAACGGTTATGTGTACGCAACTACACAGTTTGCTCGTAGATTCTAATGTTTAGTTTGCGAATACACAACTTTGTGTTAGCTTCAAAGATTTTATGCTAATATCATGTGAAAATTATGAAACGGAAAAATATAACTTTATACTAACTAACCGAGTTTTTACTCGGAGTGCTTCCAATGCGCCGTCTTTATAAATACAGTTTTTATAATATTTATATTCCTCGTGTAAAAGAACTACCCGTCGAGTTTTTTTTTTTCAAATACTATTCCATAATCTAGTTCCATTTTCTAGAATAATATTTATATGAAACGTATTTATTTCTTCTCTGAATTTATATAGATGTAAACTTTAAAAATGCAAAGAGGTTTCTTACCTTATAATAAAAAAATAATGTAACTAAATCTTTGAACAATCCGGATGCAAATTAATTTCTCATCCCTTCTTTCTTATTAATAGACCTAGGTTTTTAGTCAGTTTTGTTCTACTAGTAAAACTTTTTTTTTCAGTCCGTTCTATTCTACAAGTAGAATTAAATCGTAGAACTATAAGGCCGATATTATCAGATAGTCGATATTAACGTAGAGAGCTTATTTGGTTACCGCTAGAATGAGCTCTAGAAACCATCGTGGTTGAATTTTTAATTTTGTATCAACTTTTTGAATTCGTTACGATGCGTACGATGCAACATGTCTTCATCATCGCCTATATCTTCATTATCATAATCATATTAGCAGTAACTGTCCACTGCTGCACATGGGTCTCCCACTTTTAGAAGAATTAGACAGTAGTTAACAAACGGGTTTACAACCGCAGTTACACTTTGGTGACGTTGCTGCCCATCCCTCTTTCCTCGTCCCTCCCTTTAGCCTTCTTTTACGACACCCACGGGAAAGGAAAGGCTGGCCCATTCTATGCCGGGGCCAGATGACAGAATATATCTTATTTGTACCTAATACTTTTTTTTTATGCAACAGAATGGCAAACAAGTTGATGATAGACATGAACTACAACATAGACATCATAGAATAGACTGTGTCGTCCATTGTACCCCTCATTCGTTACCTTTTCTGAGGACTAAAGTGTTATGCCTTTGTTCTCTGTAATTTCACTGCAATATCCCGTTCAAATCAAAACACAGCCATGTAAACACAGTAGAAACATGTGTGGATAAAGTCGAGGTCACCATTATAGGTTCTAAAGGGATTATTGAGTTAACGATTCTTAAATTTTAACGTCCATAGATAATGAAGACGTCATTACATTGAAAGACGTAAGTCGTCAGAACGCCTGTTTTATTGTTCGAATATAAAACACTTTATAACGCCATTTGATTGTAACACGTCCATAAGGAGTGGGTTTATGGTGAAATTTTACATATTAATCATTGCTATTAAATCGTGTGCCTAATATCTTCAAATAATATACCTACTTACTCGTTTAACTACCATATTTTATCAGATGTCATTGTGCAAAGTCATCTGCATGGGTCTCTTACCCACTCCTATTTTTGCTGCTAAGTAGCTACGCTTTTAAGGCTGTGTTTCAATTTGAAAGTCGGAATATAGTAAAATTTATTAGATAAGGAGACAACAATTAATCCTCAAGAATAGCAATGCATAAGGGGTACCTTGGATATTACAGTATTCCATAGACTAAATATAACGTACTCTATATAACGTAATCTATATCTATCCCCCCAAGGGGAAGGTTTATGTTCAGCAGTGGACAGTTAAAGGCTGATATGATGATTATTACATATTGTACAATTTATTTACGTTAACTTTTATTGAACATCTTATCTTTTCATGACCTCCAGGGGTAATGGTAATCACATAGTTTTACGTAAATAAGGTTCTGGGTATGTGTTTAGGTTAGGAACTTTTCACAATTTATTATGACCTGAGTGCTTGAATTGTCTACCATATTTTTCCAGTTTAGTTTTTATAACGCATGATGTCCTAGTATCTCATAATTCAAGGTACCATATGTAGTTTAAGTCGATTAGTGCGTGTGTGAACGGAACTTACCTATATGTTACATATAATAAATCATAAATCACAGTAAATTAGTTTTTATTGTTAAAAATGTAAATGAAATGACAACAATCTGTATAGTATTTTCTTATATTTATTACAAAATTGTTGTACAGTAGCTTGAATAATAAGAGACCATAAAAACAATTAGTAAAGTGTGCTATAGACAATTAGTAAAATGTATGCGTCAAATGTAAATCAACATAAAATAAGAAACAAAATAAAAATAGTACAAAATGAACAAAATTTTACAACTTGAATGCGATTCTTAAGGCAGTCGCATAATAGGCAAATAGCACTGACTTCAACTGATTATATTTGTCATACAAACTGATTAACTTCACGATATATTCAAATATGGAACAAGCAACATTATCAAACAAATATTTCTATACATCGACCTTAAGGCACTGGTATTGGAACGCCTCAACTATGACAAGTAAATCTCTCAATATGAACAACAAAACACACAGTCACATATACTGCAACGACAACAAAAAAAAAAAACATTTTAATAACTTTGTACTTTTAGGTTCCTGTAAAAGAACACAACGTTACATTTAATTAAGTTCTTTATGTAGTAACATTCAAATAAATTGTTATTACAAAAGTTAACTTTAACCGATTTCAAAAAAAGAAGTTATATGTTCTACTGTATATTTTTTATGTTTATATAAAAGTAATCCAATAAATAATTATTTATTTTATAGCACAATTCATACCACATCTATTTGGAGCCAGAAAGATCGTTCTATATAAATTAAATGTAGATTAAGTAAACGATATCACACATTCATAATAACTATTCCATAATCGTATAAAGTACATAACTGTAACGGAAGACTGAACATTGAGTCTCATAAATGCATATTGGTATATTTAAAAGCTGAAATCAACTTGAACTAACGTATTTAATCTCAATTGTGTAGATGGTGGTATAAAATTATAAGATCAATCAAAATACAATAAATAAACTAAATATCTGATAAACATTAACATAATAGTGTTTCTGTGATACACAAATATACAGCACAATGAAACGATTTAGACATTCATTGACTTATACGTTGGCAATTTATATGGACTCAAAATGTGTCTATGAGAGAGTCAATCTTTAATTAATTTCGAGAATAACTTAAACATTCATACTGTATAATAGAAAAACAAAGGTGTTTCCGAGAAAGACTGGAACACAACAAGCACACGCTCTTAAAGAAGCACGAGTAAAAAAAAAAGTTTATCCAAATTAAAGCACTGCTCTCAGCACTCTCATAAATAGTTTTCAGCGGAAACCTTTCGGGCTCAAATGGTGCATGTTAAAGTGATAGGCGAGAGTAAGCAACGCGGTGCGATAATCGAATATAAGTAGAAAGAATTCTCCCAACCACTCAGTGGGGGAAATTCTTTCTACCTGTTCTAGTCAACGCTGCGAACGCATTAGCCGCTCGCACTGCGCCAGTAAATATTTCTTTTGCTGTTCGTCGTATAGCAATATAATTTTGCCCGAACCGGAACTCGGGAACATTCCTAGCACCTTCTTTTTGGCAGTCGGTATGTAGACACCTTTATTTACAGCTGTTGGCACTTCGGGAATCTCCGACCAGAGGTATGTCCACACGATCTGTTCAATTGGAGTAATACTTTTTAGATACACTTTAAAATGCACAGTACAGTGATGATTAATGTATTATTTAAAATATTAGAAGTATTAAGCATTGAGATATAGTCCTTTTAGTTGTATTAGGTATCATTTAAATATGTTATTTTGTCCAGTATCAATATTATGCTCGTGTTGTAACCGTGACGCCTATCATTTTAATTAGCTCTGATTTTTTTTTAATTAGCTCTTTTTTTGTCCCGACCAATTTACAATTTCTATCAAACATGAAAGATAGACTGGTAGTAATCCCTTTTATGGGATAAATACGTCATTATATTAATTTTTTTTTCTTAAAAACTCTGAATTTAAGACATTGCTGTACTTAAGTGTTACAAACAAACAGTTATTAGTTGCTTGCACAAAAAATACATTAGAATCAATTCTCAAACATTCACGTAAATCGCATGATACTCATATATGTAGTGGTTTCCTAAATTATTCTTAAGGCCGAACAGAATTGGCCATTTTTTTAGATAAATGTATAAAACACTATTAAGTTAAATAAACAGTTAGCATAAAAATAAAACTGACCTGCCATCCGCCGAACACGTTATTCTTCTCCAAGTAGAGAAGCCGTTTATCAGTGCACATGGCCACCTCTTTAGCTGGTATCACCCACACATGCGCCTGGTAGTTATCCGTACTCACAAATTTACCCTGTACAGTAACAATTACAAAATAAATACAAATATTTTTTGTACTGAGACAACAAATACAGTTTAAAACACTCTCTGTCTAAGCAGTATTTAACAAACTCCTGTCAAAGTAATTCAATACTATTTTTTTTTATACAACTTAGAATGGCAAACAAGCTGACGGCCCACCTGATGGAAAGTGGCAACCGTCACCTAAAAACATGAGCAGTACCATGGACATAACAGAGTATACTGTTTCGCCCACGATACCCCCCATGCGTTGCCATTCCTGAGAACTCAGGTATTATTCTTCTGTACCCAGTTTATTTATAATTTTATATGCCAAAATATTTCAATTTATAACCATCGTGCTGAATTCCAGGTGCATTCATCTCCTCATCACGATGGGCTAACTGACCTGCCCTTTCATTCTCACTTATCATCCCTCACTGGTGCCCCGCCAGCGTATACCGTTAGCGCAAGCGGAACATCAATGAGGGATGATAGGATATGATGAGGCAGGCTGCCATTCCATTATCATCTATTAAAAGAACGATAGTGAATGTATTTATGTATGTATTAAAAGATTAAATTGCCCCTTTTATAAGTGAATCTATCTACTTAATCAAGTAGACCTTTCTCTGAGTTTTGGTAATCTACTAAGTAATTTTTACCCAATAGTTTATTAATATCACGTGTAAACAACACTAATGGGTGAAATATAAAACAAACCTTTTCAAGTTCTGAAAGTATTTTATATCCTTCAGCCTGAAGCCTCGAATAAGGCCTAACCCCTGAGTCAGCCGGTAGGTAACGCGCTGCGCGACGTTTAGTCACTTCCTCAGAGAAATCTGCCGCTCTGTTACGTAAAATGCAAGTTAAAGGTTACTAACTATCAAAGAGTTATCTATAAGAAATAATTTATTAAACAATATAATATAACAAAGCTTTGATAATATTAATATAAAGCAAAATAAATCAAACCATGACGAAAACAAGCAAGCATTATTTTACAGTGCATATACAACATAAAATAAAAATACTGTTTAATAAGTGTAATGATTTACTACATTACTTTTAAAGAAAGTTTCTTTTTTTTTTATCTAGGTATTAACGTTTAGCTAATTTACATAGCTGCCATTTGCTACACTATTCTCTAGCAGCAAAATACTAGAACTTTCAAAGACTAAAAATAAATACTAGTAATTTATAAAGGTAATTATACTCCTAATTATAGTTGTAATAGTAGTAAAAATAGTATTGGACAAAACCCCAAACAAATATAGTATTATTTTGTAGTTAAATTGGTTTGAAAAGAGTAATTGCCTTCTTCTTCTCTTCGATATCCTTGCAATTCTACACAATAGGTAACAACGTTCCCAGCCTAATGTCAGTATTATATTATTAAAAAAAATTAATAAGCTTAATAAATACATCTATATAAATAATGATTTCTATTCTATTGTAATAGATTCTAGTATCGAAAAGAATTTTATATTCAAATTACATCTGCACTACACTTGACCAATAATAGGATGGCACTACTGGAACCTTCTAACAGAGGTGAGCAATCCAGAAGTGAAGTCAACTACGCCGCCGACTGGCCTCACGAGTAGTCCTAGGGCACCTTGGCCTAGTCCCTTAACGAATCCCCCCGCGCCGCCCTCATGAGCGCCTTGCAATGGGCGGACGACTATACCACACACACCATCCACTACTCCCTACGAACAACCAGCGTTACTGCTCTTACGAAATTCTATACTTTTCTTTACAACTTGGAATGTCAAACTAACAGCCCACTAACAGAAAGTTGTAACCATCATCTATAGATATGAATAGCATTATGGAGTTATCCGTATCCTGTCCCCCCCCCCTCCTCATGGTCCATGACTTAATAATATCAAAATTTACTAAAATGGTATGTCCAACTTACCATATTTTTATGAATGCACTTTCAAATCAAATTGTACAATTTCATAGGGGTTGTGAGTTTATTTACTTTCAGTAATGTATACGATGCATATGTTAATTTATATAATCGCTGTATTTACAAAAGCACCTACCTGTAAATATATTTAATATAACAAACTGTCTTTTTAATTCATTAGAGATGCAATTTAGTAACAAAAATGTAAAAAAAAAAAACATTTATGCTCTGTAAAATAATCACTCAATAACAGAAAGCAATTCCACAATAAAGCGCAATTCACATTATATATCAAATCAAATTATATGCTGCAAATTAGTCTTGTCAAATAAAAAGCAAAGCAACGGCACCCATATACAAAAGTCATGCAAATCCTAAAGTGTCAAGGTCACCTCTTAACAGCATCGAGCGAACCAGAGGCGAAGTCTACAACGCCTGCTGTAGGACGGGCAACTAGCCCCATCGCGCCCTTTCCCAGCCCCTTGAAGAACCCTTCTACGCCCTGATCGCGAGCGCCTTCTATCGGTTTTGTAAATACCCCCGTCACGCCGTCAACGACACCCTGTTTGGTTTCATTTATATTTACATTTAATTAATTTGATTTCGTTGAATTTAACTCCAAACAAGAACAAAGATTAAAAAGTAAATTTAGATCAAGAAAATTTGTTACATTTACACTCATGTTATATTTGATGTTACAGAAACGTACCACAAACTTTTTAAATGCATTAATTTGTTGTATATATACAAACAACGTTGTATATTGTTTTTTTAATCTAAACCTATATTCTGTATTTTTCGTTTAAATTCACTTTATAATTACTATTTTGTAAAGGATTTTTAAGTTTAAAGTAAACTAATAATATTAAATTTAAAGTAAACTAGTAATTTAGTATTTTTTTAATTTTTAATTTTAATTTCTAAACTTACCATAACAAGACCTTTCCCACTACGTGCGAGGCCTTCTTGTAAGTTCGCCGGTGGTTTGTTCATATTGTCACGTCGACGACGTTGATAATCCTATAAAAATAGTTTATTTTATTAAAAAAAAAATAGTAGATTTATAGATTCTATTACAATAGAACAAAATAACATTTATAGGGGACATCAAAAAATCCTTTTACAACGGTAGGCAGTTATTATCGTATGCTTACTTGCAGTAACGATATCTCCCTTTCGTTTCGGTTTACTTTAAGCACGACGTAGGGCCACCCCATCTTTAGCAAACATAGGGAAAATGTGGTCGATTTATATGAAATTTACAACGTAATCTTGTCAAGCGAGAGCGCTACAAGTTTGTGATCCATTGCGCCAGTGATGCGTGAGACGGTACCAACTCTGCCGTCTACCGTATGCCCCACCAGTGACGCCAGAAATAGGCTCTCCACAAAATTATGAATAGACAAAAACGTATCTGTCTTTCACATAATTAATAGTTAAATACGTCTAGATATATAGAGTCGGTAAAAACTATAATGAGTGTGACCTTGTCGAGCGAGAGTGCGGCCAGCCCGTGTCCCATGGCGCCGGTGATGCGTGAGACGGCGCCGGCCGCGCCGCCCACCGTGTGCCCGACCAGTGACCGCACGCCCAGGAACAGACCCTCTGCGAACTCGCCCGGGCCCTGGATAGCGCCCTATACACACACAGCACCGCACCGGGTAAGTTACACGGTCATTACACTAATGTATATCATACTAATGTTATAAACTGGTGGGAAAAATATTGTAAGTAATGAGGATTTTAATCTCTATTGCTAGCAATATATATAGTCAGGTCGCCTTTGCAAGCCATCGTGGTAAATGATTGTTGAATTCATCACGATGGGCTAACTGAACTTCTACTTTTACTTCTTTGTCCTCACTCGTGTCCTGCCAGCGTATACCGATACCGCAAGCGAGGTTACAATTCTATTTTCTTTCCCTTAAAAAAACTATCACACATCCTATTATATATATATATTACTAATAAGTTCGTAATAATGTATAGATGTTTGTCACTTAATAAAATGATTGAATAGATTTAAATACACTATTAAAATAGTACAAAGAATAATATTCTTGCTCAATAAATCTCTTTCGTAATTTTTCTTTTATCCACCGTTTTCAAATGGCAAGACCAACGCAACATTCCCTTTTCGATTTTTGTCACTACATCATCTTTCAGTCCACACTTCTCTCTAATCACACTGTTTCTCACTCTATTTTTTAATATAATACCACAAATACTTCCCAGAGTTCTCATCTCTACAGCACAATTATCTTACTTTCATGCTTCTTCTGCCATACTCACGGCTCGCTTCCATAGTGTTGGTGTCAGTACTCTCTGAATTATGGCAAGATGAGCCTTGATCGATATATTGCCATAATTGAGAGGGGTGCACCGTTAACAATGTTTCCCACTTTCACTTTCCTTTCAATATGTTTTTCACACTTTCTATCCCTCGTAAACAATGAAACCAAAACACGAGAGATATTGAAAATATTCTTACTTGGAAGGGCTCGTAGAACAGGTCCTCAACGCCTTTCTTCAAACCAACAACGAGACCGTAAGGGTTACCGATCACGTCCAGCCCTAACACTAGCACATACAACTGTTTGAGTGCTTGCCCCGTGTAATGACTCTGCACTTGACCGATCAACTCTTTTTGTGATAAGAACTCGTAATTTCTCTCGTAATAAGACAATCTGAAAAAAAAATTGCATTGAAAAAAGAAAGTTATAAAAATCTTACATATGAATAATTATTAGTTATAATATCTATCCAAAATACGAATTAAAATATTTAACGTATAGTTACATATAAGGCGCTAGTATACAGTATTCATTAATTCATTGCAGATTATATACCAGAATAATTAGCAAGGAAATTAGTAAAGACAGATGCAGATAACAATAAAATAGAGAAAATATCCTGAAAAGGAAATTTATGCTCATAAATGTATATTTCACTCGCAAAGATTAAGGGTCTGTATCACAATGTATAAATAAAGTTATAAGTAGTTATTTTATAATCTAATTATCTACTCAAACTTACTTACTTATTCTTCTTGTTAGATACATTAGTTTCACAATCATCCAATCAGTAACTTATAGTACAAAGTAAATACTCAATAGAAGATATTTTATAATAAAAAAAATATAAACTTACTTGAACACAACGTCGTTCATATCCGTCAGCGTTACACCGATACTTTGCAACACTGTACCCACGAACGTTGGGAGTTGAGTCGCGCCGCCGAGTGAGAAAGACACGTGAACCTAACAATTTAAATATAAATATTGTAAATCTTTTAATATATCAATTAAGTATGTAAATTATGTACAATAAAGATTTTTACAATACAATAAGTATTATTATAAAATAGTCTAATATAATAGAATTTAATGATCGAAGAATAGACAGCAGCCTATGTTTATCAGTGGACATTCAACGGCTGATATAATAATGATGAAATAGTATGTAGACTGATGAGAAATGACTAACAAAAACGTATTTCCCATTGTAAAATTTCAACATTCAAATTAATGTCTTAATTATTTTATGAAAATAAACGTAAAATTATTATATTATTATTCCTTTTCTTATAGTGTAAACAATTATTTATACTATAATAACAAACAAACCTTGAGGGGTGATAAATGCAAGTTGTCGTAGAAATTCTTTTGACCAGAAGCAACGCCCATCGCCGCTAGTGCCTCTAATGGTTGACCTGCTTTTTCAAGATCTAATTGGAAGGCATCAAGCTAAAACAAAAGAGTATTATATTACTCGCTTTTTAAAAGTAATTGCTTATTATTACGATTATATACATGTTTTTTTGAAATAATTAAAGTATGAAAATATGTATGTAACTTAAAATTTTTATTCTCTTGTCAATTTTATTTTATTAACAAATTAATGTGTACTCGTATAATAATAAATGAAAATGTATGAGACTTACAGCTTCCTGTTCAGTGAGCAGCCGCTGGGGGAACATTCCCATGAGGGCGTTGATGAGCCCCATATCCACCTTTACGTGGAATTCTTGTATAAGCATCTTGTAGTACTTGTACTGCCGCACTTTACTATGTTCCATTATGCGTTCCACTATAGACACCTCTATGAACGGTTTCATACCTGAAAACGAGTTTATATTCAAAATAACCCATTAAAAAACGTCCATAAAAATATAGGATTTATATTATAAATTACGACTTGTCTTTTTTTTTAAATTTCTTTAAGAAGGAAGGCCTGTGAGAATATGTATTAAAATATTATATGCAGATAATGTATAGCCATCTCATAGAACCATATATTTAGACTGAAAAAAAAAACAACGCAAAATAAAATATTTTTCAAAGTGCGAAATCTGAATTGGAGGAATTGTTTTTCAGTTAAACGTCAAAAGAATGAAATTGAAGCTGTAAGGGAAGTATGAGGATTAGCTAGCTATTTCCAAATTAACAAGATAATAGTACAAACCGCTCGGGTCGACGTTGGCGATGGAGCGCGGCGGCGGTACAGGCGCAAGCACGACGGGGAACGTGGGCAGCGGCAGTTGCTGGTCGAGCTGCAGCCGGTGCAGGCGGGCATGCAGGCGGCGAGAGTGCGGCGTGAGGCCGTACGACGCCCACAGGCCCGGCTGCAGCGTGCGTCGTAGCAGACGCGGCGACGGCTTCAGGATACGCATCTCCTCGAAATCAACCTACCCCGGGTAGGTATTCAAATATTTAGACAGGGTGCAACTGATTACGAGATTTTTTAAGAAGTTTACTGAGAGACCAACTTTAAAAGTGAATATTTCCTAAGCGTCGTACAATAACAACTTTGTTATAATTGTTATACTACAGATCGGTCGTTTTTCTTAAATTAAAGCTCCCTTAATATATTTTATTTTTAATTAACTTAGAAAGGCAAAAATGCTGACGGCCCACCTAATGGAAAGTGATAACCGTTGTCTATAGACATGAGCAATACCATGGACATAACAAAATATACTGTTTCTCCCAAGATATCGCCCATGCATTGCCATTCCTGAAGACTCAAATGTTATTCCTCTGTACCTTGTATTTTTCACTACCAGAATATAGAAGTAATTAAAACATCAAGGATTATACTACTAACATCTTTTATAATAATATTGTAGAATGCAATAAATAAATTGAATTGAATACTTCCAAAAGGTTTAAGAGAGACGCGTAAAGAATTCTAAGCTATATATTATTATCGATAAAATTTTATATATAACTTACCTCAAGTTTATCCTCCAACTGCACACGTGACGCTATAGGTTCTTCGCTGACCATTTTTTCCGCTATATACCGTTGATAAGCCTCTTCGAGCTGTATCAATTTCGGACCTTCCAACTTTTTGTATCGACGAGCACCTACTTTGCACTGCTCCCATATAATACCAGAACTAAAATGATAAACAATAATATACACAATTTTTTTTTTTTCATTTAAGAGTTTCCTCTTGTCGGTGTAACTAATTCATGCATCTTCCTCCAGCCAGCTCTATCCCAGGCCATATCCTTTATCTCCCTATACGACATGACGCCTAGTGTTTCCTTTATCTGTCCCATGTAGTTAATTCTCGGTCTTCCTCTTCCTCTTTTGCCCTCTATCTTTCCTTCTATTATGCTCTTAAAAAAATCGTCATGTCGTATAAGGTGGCCCAGCATTTTGCCTCTTCTACATATACACAATACAATACACAAAATAAAAAAAATACCCAGATGTTTATATGAAGTTGTAAAAAATTATTTAAAAACTTTCAAAACGAACTATAGGCATGGCAGGCATAGAATAGGCCATTCCCTTTTCCCCCGTAGGAGTCGTAAGAGATCGATGGTAGAAGGATGGGCAACAGCTGATATGATGATAAAAATTTTAGTGGGGCATTTATGTGAAACTTATTCAATCATTAACGTTTTAGTTCACTTCGTTAAATGAAAATTATTTAATTGACAGTAAATTCGAGATGCGATATGAACACACTGAAGGATTATTTAAAAATCCATACTTCACAGTTTGCATAGAGATCAAGAAATCTAAATCATTTATCCATATAAAGCATTTTTTAGCACATTTTTAACGTTATAATAGTCAATCTACGTCATTGCTACCTTTAAAACTTGACAAATCGACAAAATGGCGTGTTAGATACGTACTTGGATATACTAATGTATAATATCTCGAGCAGCTCCGGGTCGTTGACGAGCGAGAGGCCCATGCCCTGCATGGACAGCACGATCTCCGTGTCGACAAACTCCGCCTCACCGATGGTGTGCGCGCCGCTGGCAAGCAGCGCGTTGTCCGTGAACAGCACCACACGCTGCAGCCCGTCCAGGAACGACACCCACCATAACTTGGTGGTCTCGTTTATCCTGTTCAAATTTAATAACAACTATAATTACAACTGGAAATAATGCACATCAGTATTTAGGTCTCGAACTTAGATCTTCTGAGCTCTAGAAGATACGCCAAGAACCACGTATCAGCAAAAGGACGCATCAAACTCGACGTTGGTACTTTGACTAAACAACAGGACTGGCTAGTAACTACTTCATTCAGGGGATAAAAATTATGTACTAAACATCAAGTCAACTAAGGCCGAGCCTGGGTGTATAGAAAATTAAATTCACTGCCTACAGTTATGGGGTTCGATACATTAGACAATTTTTTTTGTAGGAAATTCATTTTATATATATATATATATATATATATATATATATATATATTTTTATATATTAAGGAATATATACGATAAATACATACATGAATTCGCCGATTCCGTCTTTTCTTAGATCATTTTCTATTTCCTTCTTCTTGTGACCTTCAAATATAAGTGTTCGAGGTCCGGCCGGATTATCCCACGTGTACAACATCTTGTTCATAGACGGTAGTTTTCTGTAAAAAAAATTTTTGTCATTTTTTTAATTATTTTTATTACTTATTTTCTACAATAATTTATTATACTCTACTATAATTTATTATATTTATTTAGGACTGGTGATCCGGCCCGGCTTCGCACGAGTAGACAGAATTTTTGAAAATAATATATGTTTCTATGTTACTCGCTAATAATATAGTAAAAATGTATACAACCGTTTCAGTAATTCTTAAATTCATCCATTACAAACAATCAAATCATTTCTCTTTATAATTTTAGTATAGGATAAGAATTGATGCTTTGTTAGCTTTGATGTTTTATTTATTGAACAAAAATTCTAATCCTATCTGTTGATAAAAAAGTTATCAGAAATGACAAAAGTGTTTTAAGACATTTTTGCTAGTTCAATTATTTAACACGTCACTTCTTTTCTTTTCATTTAAGAGTTTCCTCTTGTCGGTGCAACTAATTCATGCATCTTCTTCCAGCCAGCTTTATCCCAGGCTACTACGTCACCTAAAAACGCAGCATCAGCTGTTTATTTCTGCGTTTATGTGGGAATCAAGAAGATATAAAGGGTTCATATTCAATGCCAAATTTCAAAATACTGCTGAAGAGACATAAATGCATCAACACGAAATCAATTTACATGATGGGAATAGCGAGTCAGCAGTAATCCATTACAAGAAGTCACTATCTAACTCGAAATAAAGCTGCACTAACCTGACGTTAACGTTCTCTTTTTCGTAGAGGGTGATGAGGTGCTCGGTGAAGTTGACAAGCAGCGCGGGCGCGTGGCCGTCGCGGTACTGCCGCACCGTCACGTACGTGCCGCCTTCACTCAGCTGCACCTCCACGTGTAAACCGCCGTACTACGACCAATAATCATCATTATACCAGCTTTTAAGAGTTCACTACTGAACATAGGTCACCTCTATTAGAGGGATCATGCCAATAGTTACCACGTTTGGCAAGTGGTTTAGCAACCCCAACTAGGTTGTGATGATTTTTATAGAAGTACACTGCTGTTCATCCCTCGACCATTAAGTTCCCTTATTCGCCTCTTACGACATCCACAGGAAAGGAAGAGGTGGCCCATTCTATGTAGGGACCACACGAAAAATTATATCGATATATGGTACATATGGTAGAGATTTCCAATCACACACAAAATATATCCGAGCCAAAACTCTGCTCCACAACCAGTCAGTAGAGTATGAATACAACTAACTCAACCTACGTAAACGACAAATCATCCTTGGTGTGACTTTTGGCCATGAACATAAAATAGTATAATTATAATTTGCTTTTACGCATACCCGAGTGTACAAGATCACGGCTGATAGAAGGTGACAAAAACACTACCTATGCACATTTGAAGAAACTCTTGGATACTTTTTTTACCAGATTTGTACACTGATTTATGTACACTGCATCAATGAACAGTTATTTTTGTGGTTGTTTAATTCCTTGTCTGTGACAAGCTTCTGTGATATAAGGTGATAGCGTGTATGAATACTCATTAAATGCAAGTCAAGCGTTTTTGTTAGTATCCATGTTTTTCACTTCCATTCGTAATATTTTTCCACACAAACTTCATTTTGTGAAATTAAAAATTACCTCGTTATTAAGTTTTAGACAGACGCTATGTTGCTCGGTGTACAGGAACGGTGCAGCGTGTTCTGTAGAACCGGCCACTCTCAACCGAAGCAGCTTGTCTTCCTTTTCTATTACTGGCCACAGTGGGGCACTCGAATTTTGCTCAACCTAAATAATAAATCAAAATTACTCAAAAAAGATATAACAATACACAAAAAACTTGGTATATATGTTTAAAATTATATTACCTAATCACATATAGTTGTACAGATTTGGATTATTGTTATTAAATTTGACAACAGTCTTACCTGATATTAAATGACGCCGTAGGCTAAGATAAATCAAGCAAACTCAAATAATGTCTCTCTAGCTTTGAAAGATTATTATTTCTTATTTAATTTATAACCAAATGGAGAATGCGCTTTGAACACAAAATGGATGAAATTTGAAGTAATTTCATGTGTCTGTCATCCAACTTACACTCCACACGGAGTATCGAAGAATAGCTGACAGAAAAAAATACTAAACAAGAACAAGCTGTCCTACACCCCAGTCTCTTACCTCTTGCCAAGGATCGGCAGATCGATGTAACTCTTGGTACTGGATCGCAAAAGGTGCTTCATTGATGATAAGGAAGTATGGTGTAAATATCACCATTTTCGTCAAACTGTTGAATGTCAACTGATTTGTAACCGCCACCTAAGTGAATATTTTTTTTTAAATTACAAGGAGATAAAAATCCAGTAACTATGATACAATGTTCTTACTCTATATTTCTAAATTTGATTTTATAAAAAAATTATTAAAAACATTTTAATTTTGTTGGTGGCAACTTGACCAGCAAATTTTTTCTTTTATATTAATACTCAACGTAATTTTTATATTAATATCTGTTCACTACGTTTTTCTTATATGTATATTATGGATTAAATAGTTTTTTTTTTATACTACTTAGAATGGCAAACAAGCTGACTGCCCACCTCATGGAAAGTGGTAACCGTCACCTATAGACATGAGCAGTACTATGGACATAACAGAGTATACTGTTTCGCCCATGATACCTCCCATGCGTTGCCATTCCTGAGGACTGAGGTGTTATTCCTCTGTACCCAGTAAATTCACGCCTTATTAAAAATTCACCCCTTCAAACCGAAACACAGCCATGCAAACACAGATGCTTCACGGTTGAAACATGAATGGGACAGAGGTACCCAAGCAATCGACTTTTGTACAAAGTCTCCCTCTGGTTGTAGTTATCAATTTCTTAAAATACATCATACAATAGTCAAACAATTTTCATTTTAAAAAAGTCACAACTATATCGAATATACTGATTCTACCATTCATAATAGAGAATGTAATATTTTAATCATAAGGCTCTCCATACCTGATAAGTTCTACCCTCATGTTTACATATAACCACGCCAGAACTTCCTGGCACATCCAAGGAAAACTTCTCGGACCATTCGCCGAATTCGACACGAATTGCAGCCTTCTTTTTGCCAAAGAAGTTTTTCGCACGGAACGAGAATAATATTGGCTCCTTATATTCTTTTGGATGAAATATTACGTTTCCAGTTTCATCTGCGTTCTGTAATCAAATTTTTATTTTAAACAATCCTTATCACTCTGAAGTACTGGTTTAGTATAAGATGATATTTAAAATAGAAACATAATGACACCCCTGCCAACTAATGCAGTTTAAACCTTAGGATTTAGATGATAGAATTGAGATTTCCGAGTGCCAGAAATAGAGTGCTTTTGTATGAATTGCGAAATCAATGAAAGGAACAGGTAATGATAATAACTCTATTCAATAATAAAATATAGCTAACTATAGAATATTCCTTATATATTTATGTAGAATAAAAAAGCATTTCACAAGAAACAAAAATAGGAATATAAAAAGGCATTCAGACAGCAACCTTAAAAAATATGTATTTCGATAATAACTACCCATTTTTAATTGAAAAAAAAAGACAATTTCTTCTGATTATCATGAATTACTGTGTTACATAATAAACAAATAATTTAAAAAAGTGCAATGTGATGACATGCAACATATTAAGATATTATATTAGTATGCCAAATATAAAGATAAAAACAAACATAATGGAAATAAACAGTAGGGTCATTATAATCCACACTTTATCCCTTGTACAGAACCGACAAATAAATTCACTAACAAAATTATTTAGTACGATTAATTAATAATGTTTTATTAAACATGAGTTTAATAAAACATTATTAAACCCACGTTCCCACATTAAACGTTCATTTACACCTAAATGGGCGCCCAATAGGGTTACCACCTTTGTTTTTATCATACATATTATCTCATTTTATCAGTTATTTATTGTTTAGACTACAGCGACGGCGGCCATTTAAGTGTAAATATTTCGTATTGAAGAAGTGTAGTGTGTATAATATACAGAATTTTGGTGCTAAGAACTAGAATGAAATAAATATAAAAATATTAATATTATAACATAGATTATTGTCTCATTCTAAACATCATATTTAGATTATGGCAGAAAAGATTCAAACAGTTCTTACATAATTGTTTATCATTGGAACAATAGCTTTAAATAATTTACTTCCAAATATTTAACTTATCAAATTTAAAGAACTATTATGAGAAATATTCCTATTACCTTAATTAGATTAGCTTATAAAAACATCACTTTTGATTTTTAAAAGTATTTAGTGACACTTAAAAATCTTATTCCCATAAACCCACAAAGAAAGCATTGCAAGAATTGTGAAATATACTTATATTATATTATACAAATATGTACAAATATCGTCATCATTGTAGCGTCCAAGAAACTTATTTTCTAGAATATTCGGATTGTATCATTGTACATGAAACAGAATGGAATGTTGCTCCTAACGTGACATTAGCTACAAATCTAGAAGCCGTAGATCCCTTGTGCGCAACCACCACATAATACCGTTTGCACTCACCGGCAAACATGAAGTATGGCGTCTTATAAATTTACTGCAAGGTGAAAGTTTTATCTGTAATTTACATATACTTATGATAACACTCTCAAATGTCTATTTAAAATTTTGTGTCTTTCTTTCTAACTAAAATCTTAGTTTGATAGAAAGTGACAAAACATAACAAATTTAAATATATATTATATATAAATTATTCAATTTTTTTGAAGTATAAAAATAACATAATATATGATGTACTCTATTAAGTAATATCAGAAAGGCAAGAAGGAGATATATCTCAATCGACTAATTTCAAATAAACTTTTACTATACCGTCTCAATTTGAACTTTATTGGGCTAAGTTTAATACAAAAATGTGAAGTAAACCGATTACGTGTTCGTAACTAATTTATACAAAATCATTAAGTGACTGTACTGACCTGGAAATTAAATCTTTTAAAAGTGATTGGACAAAATTATTCTACCTACCGAATATCATAACATACCGTCATAGGAGCCAGTTATACAAAAAAAAAACAGCCGTCTCTTATAGACGTGCCAGTTAAAGTGGCTGTTTTCTGCACAACTAAAAACTCAAACTACAGTACTAGGATTATGTTGTGACCCCACTGCGCATGCTATAAAATATCAATACTTTCAATACATACAGTTAATTGAAACCAAAATCAAACTATCGCTTTGAGATGAAGCTTGTTAAGGAAGCGGATTTTAAATTAATAAAAAAAAAGTATATATCTAGAAATTTACAATCTGCTAATCATCTCAAAGATACCTTGTTGGGAGTGCTGGAGTCTTTTTCTGGTTTCTTTGATTTCTGTAATCATGTAATGTTTATGGCCAATTGTGTTTGAAAAGTTTTTAGTTCACAAATACAAAATATAATGAATTCAAGATACTGTTGAACGTACAATTATAAGTTGATCATGAAATACTTAGATTGATAGAACAAAAATACAAAATTTACAATCTTTAGCTATCATATAATATATGAAAGATAATTGCATTCTTATAATTTTATTGTGAAGACAATGAGTGTGAGAATAATCTTGGATTAACTCAAATACAACTATCATTCAATTCAATAGACTTAATATTAGAATGTAGACTGCTTGGCTAAGTGCAGGGCATTGTCTTACTTCGAGAAAATTCATCTTAACCTCTTTATTTACGTGACTTTAATTCTAAAGTGATTCTCACACATCCACACAAGTACACACAAACAAAAATCTAACACATAAATTTACTAGTTAGCATAGTTATATAGTGAGTACTCAGAATACAGAACAAATGGAAAAGATCCTACCCTTGGATGAATATCCACATAATGTTGCTAGTTTCGAAAAGTTTATTGTGTAAAATCATGCTTGAAAAATATCTAAAGTGCCTAACTGCACCCAGGCAACCATATTCTAATCCATTTTTAAACTTTTAAGATAACGAAACACCTATCAAATACCTTTTATTTTATGGAACTCGCAAAAAAATTATGGTATACCAACAATTTTTTTTTACATTATCACACCTAAAGACTATAATATATTTTAAGCCTTAAAATCTGACAGATTTACAGATTAAATAGAGTTGTTTTATAAATTGACACTTAAAGCTTAGACAAAAGAGAACAGGATGATAAAACTGACAAAGTTTTAAATTTGCAAATAAAAAAAATTAAGCCTCGGCTTGTTCTGAATTCTGAGAGTAAATAGTAAAGTTGAGAGTCATACTAACCCTGTAGCAGAGCGTGAATCCGGTCTTGTTGAGCATCCAGAAGGGGCAATAGAGCGACAGCACCTGTGTACCGTCTGTATCTACACTGTGCATGCCCAACTCTAGGGTCATGACGGCGGGGCTGTCGTGCGACTCGAACGTCCATACCGACAGCTCGCTCTCAGCGTCAGGTAGGTTCTTGGTGCACACCCAGCACTTGTCTAAATAGTTCTCTATCTGTAAATCAATTATTTTATATTTGTAACAGTAGCTATCTTTTTATGTCTTGAAACGGCAAACAAGTTAACGGCGTTTCTTATATTGTAACTGTACCATCGTCTTTAAACAAATACCATGGCTACAGTGTACATTGCAAAACTGTAATTAATTTCCTAAATACTAATGGATGTGATGAAAGAGTAAGAATATAAGTATCACCATTGCTTTTCATTTCCAGGATATAGTAAAATGTGACTAAGGGCAAAGTACAATGTACCAGCCCAATAGAAGAAAAACTCGAAATAAAACCCTAAACTCACAAGACAGTGTGTTTATAGATTATGTCTAACAGTGTAACTGTCTTAGTGAATAGTTAAAAATTTTGGTAAATCACAAGGAGTATTATCCTATGTTATCAAACCTACAATACAATAAATACTACCTTAATTCTTATAGTTTGTAACATCATTTCCCATATTCACTATGTAGTAAGTTCCGATATTAGTGTTTTTATTAAAAAAATATTTTAATACTGGCAGTTGACATACATTTGTTTTTAGAACATTCTTTTTTTATTTCTAATTGTTTTAAATTAGATTTAAATAACTATAACCATTACCATAATAACAACGGACGCTTTATTCGGTGCGAGGTGGGACAAGTGGAACATCTCCCCCGGCTTGAAAGTTTGCGTTCGCTTAAGCCCCAGCTGCGAGACCACTATATCGACTGGCAAGCAATTCTGAAGCTTCACCGCTGGCTTCAAAACAATGTCGTAGCACGAGGACGCGAATGTGTGTCTATTGGAGTGCTCGTAGAATACTTGCTCCATTGTTCCAAGTGCCTGTACAAATAATAATAATATAAACAATATAATAAGAGTCATACAATCATCTAGTTCTCAAGTCAGGATAGCTTTCGTTATATATTTAATAACTGATTCTATTTGTGACTTTGGCCACATAGAATTTAGTACTTAGGTATATTTGAAAAAATTAGTCTTTCTTTTATTTAAGTAAAATCTATTTAAGTTATTTCCGTAATAAATTTCATTAAAATTAATTCAGTTATACAGTCATATAAAACAAGTACGACAATGAGATACAATGAGTACGACAATGGTCGATCCTGAGACACTTGGTTACTAAAAATAGTAAACAGAAAGACAAAGCTACTTTGACATTTATAATATTATACAAATGTATAAATTCTTATAGCAGACATTTTTAAATGTACAATTAAATGAGAATGATTACCTTAAGATAGAATTTTTCACCGCTATTCTTATCTTTGGAATCACATTGCAACAGTTTTACAATCTTAACTTCTTGTTGCAATTCGCGCCATATAAAAGGCGATACAGATACTGTAAATCCTGCAATTAATAAAAAACATTATGTAACACCATATTATAATTTGAACTTACAATGTAATTAATCTGTTTAAATAAACAAATAACATTTATAATATTAGTTAAGGATGTACAAAATTTTAATTAAAACATACCTTCAACAGAGAAAAATATTTCGCCAGTAGGCGTATGTACAGCTTGCAATGGCAGCCGCAGTATGCCGCCCGGTTTCACGTCGCCCAATAATCTGACTTCATTGCCACTCAATGTCATATAGTACACTGATACGTTTACGGATAACGTGTTTGTCACCTAGGAAATAACAAAAAAAAAATGATTATAGACTTTTTTAATTCCATATATTGAATTTATATCACAAAAAATGTTGGCATTTTTATAGACTAACGTGGAGAAGCTTCATCATCATCATATCAGCTGTTAAATTTCCAGTGCTGAACATAGACCTCCTCCTTTGGGGATTTTATCAGCAGTTGTTACAGCAGGAGTATCTTTCATAGGGTAGTTTTCGTATAATTTTTATTAAAAATGTCAAACAAACTGTTCTTGCAAACCGTTACACTAACATAATGGGAAAATAAGTAATTACCTAGACTACTCTGTTACTTGTCTTTTTCTTCACGAAACTTCGAACATGACAACAACAATATCAAAAAATACTAACCTGCACAACACTTCGCAAATAAATCTGCAACGCTGCATCTTGCATAACAACGTCCGATATGAGACCGCGCGGTTCGATAGCGGCGACTGAGGGTACATTCCGTTCCAGTGTGGAGCTAGTGTGCTTACGACCCAGCGGGAAATAACGCTTGTCAGCTCGTTCTACTGGGATTTGTACGTCCTCGTCCAATTCAACTATCTGTATAAAAAAATATTAGGTACTTAATGAAATAAAAAGTTAATAACCAGATAGTTATTCAGTGTATCCACTTATAATCAACCTTAATAATTTCAGATTAACTTCAAGTAATTTAAACTCATTAATATTGTTAGATGCAATAATCAGAGACAAGGTGATTTTAGTGGGAAACTGGTTTAAAAAATAAATAAAAAATATCTCAGTGTAGGCCGACCCCAAACGGTATGGTTTGCAGACCACAATGAATCGACAAATACAAGTGAAATATGATAGGTTTAATAACATACAATGGATAGGCTGAAGTGATAATGGTAATCATATTGCTTGGTGAGGTTACCTTGACATTGAGCTTGAGCGGAGGCGGGGGCTCGTTTAGTTTGACAATATTGAGTCCGCCGTGCTGCAACTGTAGCGGGACGCAAGCGCCCGGCTCTAGTACCACCTCTCTGTGTACCTCACACATACATATACAGTTAGAACACTATTAAACTTACATACATACATTTCCTAATAAATCTGAATAAGACCATAGACAATGAAGTTTGTGTAATTGATTATTACATTCTTTTCGAATAAATAAATTTACAAACTATACTAATATACTACTAATCATCATATCATATCATCATAGGACCCCTTAATCGTCCACTGACGAACATAAGCCTCCCCCTTGGGAAGTTTCGCCAGTAGTTGCCATGCTTGGCAGGCAGATTTGCAACCGCAGTTAGGCTTTAGAAATATTTTAAGAGGAACGCTGCTGCACATCTCTCGCCGTCCCTTAGTTGTCTCTTACGACACCCACGGGAAAGGAAGGGGTGGCCTATTCTATGCCGGGATCACACGGCCTATATATACTACTAATAAAACATGCAAAAAATTTGGTTTCCCTCAAGGACAGTATTAATTACATTAAACGTTTCATACAAACCATATAACAATACCAAAGGATGCAGTCCAATTTGACCATAAAATCTTTATAATAGCAATTAAAAACAAAAATCGGATAAAATATATTTTAGGATATGACCGCTTATATGTTTATATCAGTGTAATAAAGTATTTTATTATTCTATTAATTTAATAAACTATTACAAAATCGACTCATACAGTACCTGTAATCTGAGGAGACATACTCGTCAGTATGGAAGACGGAGAAGTCGTGGTTATCTTGGAGCATTAGCTTTGTGGTGAGTCCGGTGCAATTGTGGAGTACGTACGGGGCGCCGTAGTACTTTTTCGTTGTAACCTAAATACGATATAAATATTTAGTGACTGAGAAAGAAAATTAAATGTTAAATTTATTTTCAAAACAGATCCCACTATAATTTTTTCTCGCCGCTGACAATAAAGTGAGAAATTGAAAGGTACTATCTTCCTATTTATGTGTTCTCTTTTTAAATGCATAAGTATCTGTATAATGACGGAATAAGAATGCGATTCACCTACTCCATATAACCAGAACGTCGTAAGAGGCTAACTAAGAGAACAACCATTGCTACCATTACTGAATAGCCTAGCACATGAACTACTGGGTTATATACATATAATAGTAAACTAATATTTTCCTCTTTTGAAGTGACAAGTGTTATTTTCGAAAAAGACTAACCCTTCTTTGCATGACTTTTTTATTGGTGAAATCAAAGTTATATAATCAAAGTGATATAATTCATGTTTCATAATTAAAGGAAAAATGGTTAAAACAATAAATTTGACGGCTATATTTTTTCTTTCTGCAATGAACATTAAAAAATTATCCAGACACAATCCACTTAAAGTAAACTTCGTCTTTTGTATAAGTTTTAGACATTCAATGTTATGATGAAAATTTCCACCAGTATGCAAAGAAGGGTTAAATATTCAAAATATTTAATCACTAAGGGCATATATTAATGAAATAAGCCAACTTTTTTCCAGAATGTAAGCATCTAACTCACATCATCGACCTTAGATTTGGACAGTACTGTTGTATCAGTGTCTGCTACGGCGGCAGCAAATGAATTTCCCAGTTGTGTGAGCATCTGTAAATGAAAATTTATAATATTATAATACACATACACAAAATATAAAAAGAAAATAATCAATCAAAAAGTATGTAACTGTTATATATTATAGATATTATCCAGTACAGTTGTTATTAAAATTTTAAATTGTGATTAAAACTGTTCACAAACTTTTCGTTATTCTAAAAATTCATTCACATACTCTGTGAGCACGTCAAAGACTAAGGATAGTCCTGTGGAATGAGTGGAAAAATCTTATGTTAAACGACGATAAAGTAACTCCTTTCCTCTTTCAAACCATAACATTGCTGGGGGAGAAGGAATTGTTAGTAATGGGGATTAATAGCCCCATTGCTAACAATATACCCTGTGAAGTCGACCTCCTCGTGGTTCCCCCTGGAATCCATCGTGATTGATTTATTGTTAAATTTGTCACGGTGGGCTTATTGACCTGCTTCATCTTCACCTATCATTTCTCACTAGTGCCCCGCCAGTGTAAACTGATAGCGGAGGCGGGGTCAACATTCCGTTATAATTAATAAAAAAAAAAACCATAACATTGCAAGTAACGAAACGAAATTTTATTTTACATAGATTTAAGCTTAATAAAATAAAAATCTGATATAAAAGGACGCTTAATGCTAAAGGCATTCTCTATCAATCAACCTTTAGGAATGTAGTTACTACAATTAATACATTATTAAAAATAATACATTAATTGTAGTAATGTGTAAGCGACAATAGAATAAATCATTACGATGCGTCCTCACCTCCATACCACTTCTGGTGATAGTAATTTCAAGTGGCTCACTACTCGATATCGTGATAGTTTTGTTGGCCTGTCTTTGTGCCACTGCTTGCAAATTGGCCGCTTCGTCTGAAGTATCTATTGATAACTGATTTTCTTGGGGCCGCATTACAATCTGCAAATATGAAATATTTAAAGCTCTATACTTCTTGTGTAATTGAAATGTGCGAGTGACGAGTGACATTTTTTTATTTTTAAAACAATCACTCTTAACTAGTATAGTCGGACAACTTCGTGTTTGATGCTATAGAAATATAAGAAGGCTGCAATGAAATTGGCAAGCATATTTTTCCCTTTCCTACCTTACTAACCACGCATTACAGAGCTTTTACTGTTTCGTTTGCTCTTAATGAGTTTGGGAAAATGAGCTATAAGAAATTTAAGTATTGCTGACCTCCATCTTAAGCTCCCATGGCACGTGTTTGTATTGATAGTCTTTCAGCACTTCGACAGGCTCAATAAGCGGCTCCCATAATGCGCGGCCGATATTGTAGTAAGAAACCTGCATCGCCCATGTTGACTCCATATAAAACTGTAAATAAGAAAAATGGGAATAAATATTTTTAGAATTAAGCAATAACAGCACATTTACATTTAATTGTTATGTTATCAAATCTATAGAATAGGGGGGAAAGGCATTGTTAGCAATGGAGTTTGACAGCCCCATTGCTAGCAATATACCTTATTAGGTCGACCTCCACATGGTTCTCCCTGGAAACCATCGTGAACAATTCTTGTTGAATTCGTCACAATGGGCTAACTAACCTACTTCATCCTCACCTATCATCCTTCACTGGTGCCCCGCCGGTGTATACCGATACCATTCTATTATCATCCATTAAAAAAAAAAACATATAGAGTACTTCTAAAAAATTGATATAATTGAAAAAATAAATAAATAAGAACATTTTTTTTAATCGAAGATAAATGAAAAATGTTAAAATTATATTTTTTCTGTTTACCTTAGTTCAAACGGACTGCTCACTATAATTTTGAATAGAATAATAAAAGGATTAATATTAACTTACATCTGAGCTCCAGTCCTTGACCTGTCCATTCAATGATGCTTGCATCACAAGCACGGGTATGGTCTCATTGCCAATATCCATCTCGAGGGAGACGACAATGGACGGGCTTGATAGTAGGCAAATCTCACCAGACGGCGGCGGGGGAGTTACGTTGGTTTCGGTCAAGTCTACACTAATAGCTTCCTCTGCCTCTTCTACATATTGTGGAAAAAATACGAAACATAATGAAAAATCATTAATAATTAGAAATATTAATAAAAATAAACAAATTTTTCCAAGAAGACATAATATTATAACATAAGTTAGTATGAAAATACTTCGTAAATTGAAAAATATTTTAACCCTTTTAGTGCCATTGATTTTTACTCATATATGATTAAAAATGCCAAAGAAATCTTTGTCGTGTTGATGTCATTTACCCTTATCTCTGAAAAAACTGTATCTCCTCCAAAAATTATCTAATTTTAATATTATTTTTTTTACAGCAAGCTAAACAGTGACTGATTTCACGAGCGCTATGACGCTCGTGGCACTTTTAGTTACAAAGCGCACGAGCACGAAGGCGCTCTTCGGCACTCAAAGGGTTAAAATATATTTTTTTTTTATTTCTAACTTTCAGTATATAATTAAATGAATATTATAATAGTCCTATAACAACATTAAGCATTCTAAGTTAAATAAAAAAAAAACAGATCGCTTAACTAACCTGTTTTTAAGAACCAATACGCGTTTGGTCTAAACGGTTGTATGGTCCAAAGATTGTTGTATAATATAGGTTTATTATCTTCTTCAGTGTTGTCCTCTTCACGCCTTGTCATAGTTGCCAACACACGATTCAAGAGGGCGATCATATCTAATGAAAAGAGAAAGAAGAATGTTCATTCTTAGAGCCGAATTAAATATGCCATCATACTAGATTATAGAGTCTCTATCTTTTCTGGACCATCACTCTCTTTAAAGAACAATGCCCCTCATTAATAGTTAATTTTATTTTAAATTATGTTAAATTTAGATAATATGTTAAATTATTAATCATCGGAATCTTCTACTGGCCCCAAAAGAAGCCATACTTCTACTCGGAGGCGGTATCATTCCCGTTCGGAATCTATGACTATCCATATTCTAGTAAGATTAAATAATTATACAAACATGTTAAATCTTATGTTGTTATATTGTATGTTATAAGAAATAACTAGAAGAACAATTCACAACTGCAAGGGAAAGAATGCTATGTATATCCCTACTTTAATACTACCTATTATGCTTAGTACTTACAAATTTATGGCATTAAATATTTATAACGCCATAACTTGAGAACCAGGCAATTTATGTGATTAAGTGATAATATATTTATAATATACACAATTGTATTAGTTACCGGGCGATACAGTGATCTTTATGTCGGAGACTGCTAAGTCCACGTGCATCCCACTGTTCGGAGGTTGCGAGAGCGCCAACGAAAGGGTAGCGGGAGACAATAAATATTTTGGTGCAGCCCCAGCCTCCGCGCGGCCTAGTGTTCGAACTACCATCTGCAATCCAGAGATACCACCATCCGCCACCATGCGCTCCGCAGTCTTGCGCAGCTTGAACCGGGCTTCCATCTGTTTTTATGAGATAAAAATTAAATAGTGACATCACCTATACTATCAGCATATACTAGCGGAGTGACAGTGATGGTAAATGAGGATGAAGTCAAGTTTGTTGGCCCAGTGTGATGAATTCAAACAGGACACCAATGTGTTTTCTAAAAAGACTACGCCATAGTACAGATCGATTTGAAATGGTATATTGCTAGCAATAGGGCCGCTAGAACTCTACTGCTACTACTAACAATCCTCTTCCCACGCTATCCATTTGAAGTTTACATGATAAAGTTAATCTTTTTGAGACTCCCATATGAAATTTTACTCTAGGTTTTAATCGCAATATAACTAGCGTCTACATTACTGAAAATCCTTCGTTCCCTCCTAGTAATGATCAGTGTAAATAAAAATCAAAACATACTTACATTTAGCACGAGTGCATCACACGTCTTCTGCTCAAGTGATTCGACCAGAATGATGTCAGGCTGTTCTATCTTGATATTGACCGTCATCATCGATGTATTCTGCGGCTGTTCCACCGTCGGGGGTGTTACTGTTGACGTTTTCTTTTTCTATGCAATTTAATAAAAAAATAAATTAAATAATCATAAGACATATAAGATACAATAAGTCAATTTTAAGTTAACCCTTTCCACTTCAAGCCTTTTTTCTTTTTATTCCACCAGCTCCACGTAAAATTGCGTTTTTTAACTTTTAGGGATTTTTCGTATTTTGTAAATAAAATTGATTTTTTCTTATATTATAAACTTTATTTTATGAGTAATTACAGGATACTATATTATAATTCTTAATTCTGATCTTTATAATCCTTTTTGGTATGGTACAAAATCAATGTCGAGTGATACTCGACATTGGAGTGAAAAGGGTTAATACAAAAGATTGTTTTTTGTAAAAAATAATATACCGTCCTTTTTTACGCGCAGTCGCGTAAAAAAAAGATTAGGTTATTATACAGTTTACATAAATAAATCTAAAAACGGATGAATTATGTCCAATAATATCCAATAGGTGCTGCACTAAATTGAAACTCGTTTACAAGACAGCAGTAGCAGGCCAATACAGTACTGGCCCGCCTTGAGTTCACTGTCAGTAACCAACTTAATATAATCTTACACTTAAATATATCTAACTTTGATAAATTCCGTATTCCACTACTATACGAATGGAGACAGTAAATATAACAATACTTACGAGTAGGCTATCAACTGACTTGTCGGTGGGCTTTAGTAGTTTCAAGTCTTCCTTAGGTTTGATGGGTGGTGCATCCTCCGCGAGCCCGGTAGTCATGAACTCTGCTATCTTATTGAGGAAATCCATGGCCAAGATCAAGTTGAAGCTGAATATCCTCATGTCAACTGTTGGTCACAAAATGAGAAAAAGAAATTAATTAAGCATATTGAACTAAAAAATGAGAGGACACATACATTTTCCACACATATAATTAAATGCAATAGAGTACACTAATAGAACAAATATTTTGTCCCCTACCGCCACCTATCGAACACATTTTTTCTTATTTAACATATATAACTTGAGATATAGAGTAGTAGGATATAAATTATCCTACATCTTAAATTAAAGCAAACAATACAAATTTACTTAATTTTATTACTCAGTTGACCAGTTACAAAGATTACCATAAGTATATCATAGACTATATGGTAATTTTTATGACATAAACAAACACCAATTTTTTCATTTTGTTTTTTAGAAAAATATGTCTATATGTATATATATATATTCAATGTATTAGATAATTATACTCATCTACGTAATTTGTTACGAGATTAAAAAATAAATTGTAACTCACTAAAGATATCAGAATTCTTCATGGTGTACGTTATGTCGATCATGCTTCGAATCTTATCGTTGGCTTCCATGAGTGCACTGTCATCAGCTTGTTGGTCTGATTTCGCATCGCCCCGTTCACGTCGTCGTTCTAAATATCTAAAGAAAATTATACAAACAATATTATTATTTTTTTATTTTATTTTTTTAATTTGAATTTAGAGCATACACGAAGATAGAACATTATGAATCAGAAGAGAAGGAATTGTTAGTAAAAAAGAACTACTAAGCAGGTCCTCCTAGAAACCATCATCAATATTTTTTGGTGAATTTGTTACGATGATCTAACTGCCTTAACCCTCTCCTATCATTCTTCACTACACTGTGTACCCTGACAGTGTAAATTAATAGCGCAAACCTAATTACTATTTCATTTTTTATAAACATAACTAACAATACCTATTGTTTGCAATAGGTACTGTTGATAGCAATTTTCCATATATTTGTTTATCTATATTTCAATATTAAAACATGCCTCCTTACCTTGTGATCTTAGCACCTCGTCCCGGCCTTGTGTCGTCGAGAGTGCAATCTACGAGCAGCACCGATGTATGCATCGAGTTGTCAGAGAACATTCGCCCCTTGACGGACAACAGCGCTAAGCAGAACCGAGCCAGTTCTACGTCTTTTACAAACATTGTGTCTTCCGACTATAATAAATACATGAAACACAGTAGTATGAATTTTTTTTATCTTTCTTTCTCTCTTTCACATTAATATTATAAATGTGAAAGCGAGTTTGTTTGTTACCTCTTAGCGTCTTAACAACAACCAATCACTATGAAATTTGTATATACACAGAAGGAAATGGAATGGAGAAGGACATAGGCTATTTTTTAGTCCAATCAAAGAACAAATCCCGGTAACGCGTATAAAATTATGGATGAAAACAAAGTTTGTAAATATATTTTATCGTTTATAATGTAATTAACTGTTTCCCGTAGCTTTGCCCGCATGTATCGGTATTTATTGTATCCTAAGTAGTAAGTAAAGGTAAGTTAGGTTAGGTTATAATAGGTTACATCCTAATTGAATAGCCCTATAACTATGTAACAGTTTGTTCAAATCCATTAAATAGTTTAATCGTAATTAAGTAAACAACACAAGTATCTTTACAAATTTCACATTAATAATATTAGTAAAGCATATGACCGAGATATCCGCTAAGTTTATCTACCCGTCCTCTTTTCTAATCTTCACCAAAAATAAGATTTATATTATAAGTAAATAATCAGTTTTTACAAAATATTAATAAAAACATAATACATTATACTTACGCTAATAGTATTCATAAGGTCTATAACAAAACTGTCCATAGTAAAAGCGAATTTTATTGTAGTTCTTGGTTGCTTATCCTTCTTAGACGTCACAACGGCCACTGTCGACTTGGTCTGTGTTCTGCTCGTCTGACTTTTAACTGCCTTCGACGTCGCTTTGGTTACATTAGGCTGTGCTTTGGCCTCTTCTACTTTATTTTGACCTTCTTGGAGATTTTGGTTGAGTATTTTCATTATACTTTTATAATCGCTGTGTCCTACGGTAATCTAAAAGTATATTTAGGTATGAATAAGGCATAAGTAAAACACAAAATACTCACAACTGCAAATGATATCTTGAGTCGATTCTCATTCTGGCAAATTTAAAAAACAAACTTTTCTAAATTGGTTCTGGATGTTCATGGTTTAGTTTCTAAAAAAAAACTAATCTAGTTTAGAAAGCAGAGAGTTGATATGAATCATATACTCACTATGTATGTAAATATTGTATATTTTCTATATATAGTGTAATAAAATAAATTTACAATTATAAATTATTATTAATAGAGGAAGACTTTGTACAAAAGTCGATTGCTTGGGTACCTCTGTCCCATTCGTGTTTTAACCGTGAAGCAGTTGTGTTTGCATGGCTGTGTTTCGGTTTGAAGGGTGGGATATGGCGTAAATTTACTGGGTACAGAGGAATAACACCTGAGTCCTCAGGAATGGCAACGCATGGGGGGTATCATGGGCGAAACAGTATACTCTGTTATGTCCATGGTACTGCTCATGTCTATAGGCGACAGTTATTTTTTTTTTTGTTTTTTTTTTTTGAATAGGCGACAGTTACCACTTTCCATCAGGTGGGCCGTCAACTTGTTTACCATTCTAAGTTGTATAAAAAAAAAGATCGAAAATAATAAAATTGTAATTAGTTTCTACATAAAATTGTAATAAATAATAATTGTAATAATTCCCAAAGAGGGTTGACGTCAGGCAGGCGGCCGGTCGTAAAACTAAAAGTCAAATCTTTTTGTAATATGAATAAAATCATATTACGCCGACCCCAAATAATTATTGGGATAAGGGTAGGAAGATAATGATGAAATTGTAATAAAATTAATTGTATTCCTTTAGCAATAAATACTATTATTATTGTATTTAATTAATTTAGATTTGTTACGTACAGCTATAGTCCTCATCCGACCAGATACATCTAAATCTGGCAGACTTTCGTACCAGGACGAGAGGCTACGTTTGACCAGAAGTTTGAAACTCGTCGGTCGAAGCAATTTGCGCTCCTGACTAATATCCTTATCATCTTTCAGTTGCACGCAAGACACCTTCATATCCTCGAGTTCGAGAGTCAACTCGTCCACTGTAACTTTGTTGGATACGTCCTGGTAATTAAATTCAATAATTAATATATCTTAGAATAAGCAATCAATGTAAAATAGATGGTATACAAAAATCTGAGTCTCTGACACCAGTATATATCGTTCTATGTGAATCTTTTGAAAATATACTAAACCTTACATTAAAAAAAACAACTTTTATTAAAATTCTTTTTTTGAATACTTAAAAAGAAAAATAATTTTATAGCTAACACAGAATTATTAAGCATTTTATGAGTAAAGAAGTGATTGATTAAACCCCTGTGTTGTACGTATTCAATACGTACATAAGCACGTAATCAAATGCACTATATGTATTTTCTGTGTTATCCCTAATTTTATAATATAGTTACTAAATACCAGTCGTTCTGATGAGCCGTAACTTTATTGGTTTTACCAACACAACAAAATAAAATAAACATATATCAAATTGTAATTAGAATATTAAAATTTTATTACTACTTACAGCAACAGGTAAGTCAATAAATTTGTTATTGAGATTCATTCGACCCAAGTCAACTAGCATAGCGTTCAAACTAGTCGAGTTCTCAGGCACTACAATAATAGGTGCATCGAGGCGTACTTTGAGCAGTACTTTAGTTGAATTTTGGTATGCGGTGGCTACATTTGCCCGCGCGGCGTCCGCAGCTTGCGACGACGCTTCAATGATAGCTTGTTGCGCCGTTTGGAAATTATTCAAAAATTCCTGCAAATAGATTTATTAATTAGTATCTCATTATATAACTATAATCTATATGTATTTTCTTTAATAATTTATGAAAAGAAATTAAATTTAAAGAAAAAATCATTCAGCGACCCACCCATTATTTATTTACTTACAAAAACTAAATTGAGACATTTTGAATTTAATTTAAAAGTTATCACATCAACATCTTATTCTGGCATCCTTCCCCACTCCTTCACCCACTTTATAAGCCCCATTTTGGCCCCTGAAACTATAACCTAGCGCCCGCGGCAAAATTACGTCATTCCATTTCCCTTACGTCCCTATAAAGTGACAATAAATACATACCAGCATAGAGGTGACGAACCAGTTGAGGAATATGATACGCAGACAGTTGATCTGCGCATCGATGGACATGTTGACGTCACTGACGGACGGGTGCTGCTCCAAGTTGTACATCACTATACGAACGTTCATCACGTCGCCGCCCAACACTTTCAGTATCTGTTAATATTTGAGAATAATCATCCGATATCATCATAGTGGAGTCAATATTAAAAATGCAAATAAAAAGAACTAGTTTTAACACTAAATATGGATCATATATCGTCACTAGATTATCAGCTCAGTTGAAAAACACTCGGCTACGATTTGGGGATTCCTAGATGGTTAATCCTTAGGAATGGCAATGCCAAGGGGTATAACTGGCGAAACAGTATACTTTGTTAAGACCATGTTACTGTTCATGTCTATAGGCGACGGTTACCTTTTTCCAGCAAGTAGGCCGTCAGCTTGTTAACATTCTAAGTTGCATAAAAAAGTTTACATTTATTTCGTTCTATAATAATCCAATAAATCAGAGCTCTCCCTGTTCAAGCGATTTAAAAACTATACTTTTACACGAGTATTACTTTATCTTACGATATTTAGAATGAACATATGCATAATGTATACGCTATCACACTGAGACACTCACAATTGTTGTCACAACATTTGTGCAACAATAAAAATAATTCGAAACTCATTCTGCAGTAATAAAATTTCATTTACCTCTTTATGTATGGTTACAGGGTTGAGATCTTCCACTTTGATGGACGCGATGGCACAGTCTACTTGAGTATAAGAACTCTTCAATACGAGGCCGGCAGTGGCGCCCTCTAACATCACAGTGGACAGCGGGCGTCGGTCAGTAGAGAAACCGATCTCGATGGAGCCGATCTTAACATTCACTTTCAGTTGGATGCTTTCCACTTGCCTACGACGCGACGGTTTTGCAACATTGGCTATAAATAAACATTTTGCATGATATAAATATATGAATATGAAATTGAAACATTAAGACAACAAAGTTAATTCAAACTGAGAACTTCTTCTTTTTTGAAAGCGATTAAAATAATCGACTTAAGTCATGGTGAAATAATCACCTTTCGATTTAGCAGCAGAAAATTCTTCATCTTCGACAATCGTTTCTAATGGGCCCGCATTCGCAGTTCTGTCTACAGTACTTTGAATAGCTTGTAATCGAGTCTGAAAAATAAAAAGAAAGATATACAAAAATGTACCTTATTATAATCAAATAAAGTTTAATTAAGAAAAATATTTTTCAATACCTGGTACTCATTTACAATGACTAGAATTTCCTGCAAACCTTCCAAATGTAGAAGTAGTCTTAATGTAGTAAAATCTAATTCGATCATCTGCTCCACTGATCCGTAATGACTTCTAAATTCTGGACACTTTTTGTCAACCTGTAATCAAAAATATTTATTTATTTTTATTTAAACAACTTTATTAACCAAAATAAAAAATATGGTACAAAAGGCGAACTTAATGCTATAGTAGCACTCTCTACCAATCAACTTTAAGGATGAGCACTGAATCACGAAGGCGGTACTGCATTATTATACAAAGCAATTATTCCATTTAATAATCTTGTAAAAATTTAAAACGATAAATATTATTAACTTACACTGTTACAGCTAGATAGCATGCATGCTTTGGTCCGATTTGAAGTGCAAAATTACTAGATACTGTAGCACAAAATTTTGCACGCGAAAAAAAAATTAATAAAGTACTTACATTACTATAGGTGACTGCAAACAAATACTGATTCTTATTCTTCTCAACAAATTCTTCTTCTCCAGGAGTCTCCACCATATTTATAACCTTTTGTCCGAGCCTATGATGTTGCATATGTACAGCACCAAGGCGGACGGCTGCTTCTAAAGTGAACGTTTTCTGCGTCGCCTTAATTTCCAGTAGATAGAGAGAGAATACTAGGAACTTTTGGTAATCTTTGGACGTTTCTACTGTCTTACGATTGACGCTAAGTACTAGTTCTGTAATAACGGAGAGATTTATGAAAACATTATTAGAAAATCTAGATGCCTAATTAATAGAAAAGTAAAAATCGTTGAGGTGGAATTTATACCATTTTAGTTAAATTTCTGAGATATATTTTGTAATACACCAAATTAATTTTTTACAATTTTTTTATACATCTTAGAATGGCAAACAAACTGACGGCCCACCTGATGGAAAGTGGTAACCGTCGCCTATAGACATGAGCAGTACCATGGACATAACAGAGTATACTGTTTCGCCCATGATACCCCCCATGCGTTGCCATTCCTGAGGACTCAGATGTTATTCCTCTGTACCCTGTAAATTCACGCCATATCCCACCCTTCAGACCGAAACACAGCCATGCAAACATAACTGCTTCACGGTAGAAACGCGAATGGGACAGAGGTACCCAAGCGACTTTTGTACAACGTCTCCCTCTGGTAAGTGTTTTACAATAGATTTAGCACACATTTAACTTTCTAAAAATAAAAGTCTAAGATTCTAAATCTAACATTAAATATTAAGTACAGATGATAGAAAAAAATTTGGACATTTGCTACAGTTAGTATGATAACATAAAGATTCTTATGTACCTTTCATAATAAAGAATGCTTCAACTTCAGTCAACTGAACAGAATGTTCCTCAGTCTTCCTCTGGTTAGAGCGCGCTGTATCTCTTTTCTGTTTTTCAACTGGATCCAAGTACCTTAGCAACGACAAACTGGAACTTTTTGATTCACTCGGCTAAAATACATAATTATTTTGTCCGCATTAGAAAAAATCAACACATATTATAATTATTAAAGCAGTGTTCATTTGCTTAATGCAACCATTACTCAGATCTGTGCCGACATGTGTTTCACCTAAAAACGTATTTTAAGACAGTTTCTCAAAAAATACATACTGGTCTTACCGAATAAATAGATACCGCAATTTCAACTTCAATGTAAACTAACATTAATTCCATAGACAATAGCTTACTTTTTGTGATGAAAAAAAGTACAAATTTTGAGTTGCGACTTGAGCAAAGTTTAAGAAGGCAATGTCCATTTACTTAGGAAAAAAAGATTACGTGAAATACATATAATTGCGTGATCTATTTAAATAATAGACTGTAAACACTAAATTGCTCAAACATACATGAAAACAGATGGTAGTAAATAGATGCATGATCACATATGACAACAGTTACAATTTTTTTTTTTTTAAGTATATGATACAATTTATACTTAAAAAAAAAATATAAATTTAAATTACATTACGTTACGAAAAATATTTACGAAAATATTATAACTAAATATTATACAGCATTTTAAACTCGTATTTTCCATCTTGCGTTAGTCTTTATTGCATTGATGATACATACTTTAGTCTTTAATTTTGATTTTTATTTGAAGTTTGAGTTTAAGTCTGAGTACTGATTTATATCTACCTTCATCTAATATTAAAACTAATAATTCCTTTGTTTAACAAAAATAAATCTATTACCATATACTAGTGCTACTACAGCTACGTAAATGTACAGTGAAATTAAAACAGCTATAAAATTTTACCCCACTACCTCCTTCTTCAATTACTATATGGGTCTGTATGATGCGACCCGTCATCATATATGCACATTTGTAGGAAAATATCTTGACGCAAAAAAGGAAAAAGGAAACGTAAAATAAATTATAAAGAAATACTTAAAATACAGGCATATTAAAAAAAAGCTCTCATACCTTCAGTTGCATAGCTTCTTCTGATTTAGGAAGGGGCATGCTTACTAATATTTCACATAACGTCAGTAACCTGTAAATAATACAAAAAAAAAATCATTATAAATAAAAATAATGGAAATAAAAATATCTAAAACGATTTTTTATAATTTGAAATGGTAAAGAAGCTGATAGAAATTGCCTACACAAGTGGATAGTACCATAAACATTACAGAATACATTGAAAATCTGATGGTGCTCGTATATTGCCATTTCTGACAGCTAAGATGGTATACATTCATACCCAGTAACTTCACTGCAATATTCATTACATATTTCAAAAAGACCAACTAATAAGTTGGCCGTAGTAACAGATGATACAAAATTACTGGAACAATTAAATACACCGCTCTTCCCGCTAACATTGATGCTTTTTGCCTCTTTGAGTTTCCTGAAAGAGATCTTATGCAAGATTGAGCTCGTCTTTGTACATTTGCTTCCCACTGTCATATTTACGTATGTATTATTATTGTGTACAATAAAGTATAAATAAAAAAAAAAAATAGAAAGTATCACTCTGGCCATCAAATGAACTACATTAATATTATAATGAGCAAATATTTGATTTGTTGTTTGTAATGGATAAACTCAAATAAATACTTAACCGATTTAAAAGGAATCACCTATAGGAAGCTAAATTATCAGCAAGTAACCTACATAGACTGTATTTAAAATAAAACTGTGCGAAACTGGGGAATCAACTTGTCGTGCATAAAGATAATAATCATATAAACAGTAGCTTACCTATCTTCTGATGCACTAATAGCTATCTTCTCGAGTTCTCCTCTAATCTTTATCTTAGGCAAACGGGGATCGTCAGTTATTAAACATTTGTGAATTTGTATAACTAAGTTGGTTGGCTGAAGTAAATGCAGTGGGGTCGCTTCGTTTGAAGCTATTGCCGATTGCCAGTCCTCATTTGCTGATGCTATTACAACCTGACATATGAAAAAGAAGATTAGCACGCATATTCTTAAAAATAATTTTACTAGGCAATAATTGTAATTGGTTTGTAGTAACTAGTAGTTTCTAGTTGTAGTAATTGGCATTTATGCGAATGTATTTATGTATGTGTATATATATTATGGAACAGTATGTTTAATTTCAACTAGATATTTTTATCTTTAACTGTACAGTTTTTACTCTAGAACATTCTAGGTTTCTATCAGATTCTCAAAGGTTACAGTCGTAAGATCTTAATAATATATTTAAATATTTTTAATGTGTCCAATGTAATGTATGTACAATAAAGATTTTACAATTACAAAATTACAAATGTTTAAATAAATAATCTGCCCATATATAGATTATTACATATATGTATGATATTTGTGTCTTTGGAGTAATCAAAGGATCACACTAGACGTACGAAAAATATATTGCATCATATGTACCTGCATCTCGGTGAGACGGAGCGCCATCTTGTCGTAGCTGTGGTGCGCGATCTCCCGCAGGATGTCGTCGTCGGTGAGCCCCTCGCGATGCAGCCGGTGAACATCGAGCTGCTCCCCGCGGCCGGCTGACTTCACGCTGATGGCACCCAACTTTACCGCCACGCACGGTTCACCTCTGTATAGAATATTTTGATACAACTTCAAATGAGAATAGGTGTTAAGGCAGTATCTGTAATATGTCTTTGCTATAATGTAGAAATAAAAAAATATTGTCTGGTAAAATATGGCGTAAAAAATATACGGAAAATTATATCGGAAATTCGGCATTTTTAATTTTATAGCAACTCTCGGAAAATACATTGGTCCTTACGGGTCGGATCGGATTAGTGAAGAATTTTCAGGTTTTCAGATAGTTATTGGTAATATTAGCTATCTCTCGACGTCATAATTGGCAGCGGTCATTGTCTATCATCTACATTTGCAAGGCGTCAAGGTTCGACGTAGTAACAGTAGATAAATCAGGTAGTAATTCCTGGAGGATTGACGTACGAGCGGTATCCAGTTCGAGGTTGACGACACGGAGACACGGAGCATCAGTGGTCATCAGGATGGTGCACGGAATATCAATAAAATTTACGGCAAATTAATAATATGCTTTCGGAGTGAGTTGTGTGCGCTCAGTTTGTGAGTACATTATAAATATTTTATATTTTGACGTGGATAAATAATGTTAAATAATAGTGAATTCATAGAAGAATAACATCAAAGTAGTGAATTCATAGAAGATTTTACATATTGAGGAAAGAAGATAAACATTTCTTGTTAAAATTATCGATTAATTTTACGAACTTTCAAATTTAGTGGTATAATAATTCCATGAACATTTGAATTTTGTTGTATTATAATTAAAGTTTGATTTTTCTTTGACCGAGAGTTGTCGTTGCGTTCGAAATTTAAAATTGTACGTATCATAATTTTATGTAGGTTGCATAATAATGTAATTATTATTAGACAATGAGAACTTTTTGTTTGTAGTTATCAAATTTTATTGTTTTATGTTTTGTTTTTATTGTTCTGCTACTAGAATAGAACTAACTTTCTTTAACATTAACGAATATGGATTCTATTATTAAATTTCAATACGATTTACATTCAAGGATAAATAAAAATAAATCAAATTTTAAAAAGAGTCCTAAGGATAGACTCACTAAGGAATATATCGAAATACGACTCGAGATAGTAGAGTCATTATGGGTTGAATTCTTTTCTGGTCACAGGGACCTTATGCGTTGTAGTGACTTAGGTAAATTAAATAATTCAGGTTATGTAACTGAAGAGGTTTATGATAAGACGGAAGAGCTATATTTAGAATATAAAAGTGAATTAAAACAAATTTTAAATACATTTGATAAGAAAGTAGAAACAAATGTAACGGAGAGTAGTACAAAGTCATCTCAGGTTCGGTTGCCCAGTATAAATATTCCAATTTTTAGTGGAAATTACTTAGAATGGTCCACATTTAGAGATTTGTTTCTATCATTAGTACATTTTAATGAGAATTTAGACAATGTACAAAAACTTCATTATTTGAAGGGATATTTGGCCGGGGAAGCCGAGCAATTATTGCGACATATACCAATTGCAGATGTTAATTATAATAGATGTTGGTCACTTTTAGAGGAACGGTACAATAATAAAAAATATTTATCACATAGTATTCTTAAAAGGTTACTTAATCAAAGAAATTGTAGTGTCGAATCTGCAGCTGGTATTAGAGATATAATCGACACAACTACTGAATGTTTAGAAGCGTTGTTAAGTTTAGGCATTGATGTTACAAATTGGGACATCATTGTTATTCATATTATTTCATTAAAATTAGATCCAGAAACTAAAAGGCAATGGGAATTTAATATTGCTAACAGTATTCATTCAGACAGTTTACCAACATTTGATCAGTTTAAGGAATTTCTCACTAATAGATTTAGGGCATTGGAGTTTCTGGAATCTAAGGTTAATAAATCAATAAAATGTCATACGGCTAATGTTGATATAATTGATGAACGGAAGAACATATCATTTAGTTGTCAATATTGTTGCGGTTCTCACACAATGGGTTTCTGTAAAAAGTTTTCGGTTATTGGTATTGATGCTCGACGCGATTTCGTTCAGAAAAATAATATATGCTTTATTTGTTTATATTCCAATCATATTGCTAAACATTGTAATAACACTATTAGATGTCGTATTTGCAAGGGACGTCATCATTCTTTATTGCATCCACGGAAAAACACGGTACCTACGTCTCAATTTGGCGATAACGGTGATGAGTCGGAGTCGAATCAACAGATTTATAATAATAAGTCGCCTAAAATAGAGACATCAACAGGATCTAAATCGGAATTGCAAACGGAATGTCATTCTACACCAATTTTGTCTTGCTTTTCGACAGGAGGATCAGATAAAACTACATTATTAACGACAGCCCTGGTAAAGGCTGAGTCGGAAAATGGGAGACATCGGATCATAAGAGCATTAATAGATCAAGGCTCGGAGGCCTGTTTTATAACTGAAGCTGCGGTTCAGCTTCTTAGTTTAAAAAGTACTCCGACAAATAGCATTATACATGGAGTCGGAGGAGAAAGGAATACTACATCAAAATCAGTGGTTCATTTAAAGATACAGTCCATAATCGATTCTAGTTTTGAGATAAATGTTACAGCTTACGTTTTGAAATCTATAACTGCCATTCTTCCAATCACACATGCAACTGTTGAGAAGTGGGTTGACATAGACAACTCAGATTTAGCAGATCCACAATATTACATCCCTAACAAAGTGGATATTTTATTAGGTGCTAACGTTTACAGTAAGATTATAAAGGAAGGCTTGAGGAAAAGTGTGCAAGGTTCTTTAATAGCTCAAGCAACTGTATTTGGTTGGATAATATCGGGTGTTACAAATTCATTTAATTCACAACCTTCATATTTGACAGCAATGCACGCTTGTATTAATACGTATAATAAATCGGAGTTCGAAGACGATTCACTTGAACAATTGTTTTCGGCAATAAATCCACCTTACGACTATGAAAGGCATATTAGAGGACTTAGAGCATATTATAATAAAAACACCGGTAACCAACCTGAAAAAATATATAACGGATCCGAACTAAAATTAAATAAAAAATATGAAAAATATAAAGAAGAGTATAATGAAGTTAAAGATAAAAAGATATATTCGAAACAAGTGAATTTAGAAAAAGGAAAATGGACTAAAAAGAAAAATAAAGGATATAGGGTAAACGTACCTTATCACGACAGTATAAGAGAACATAAAAATATTTCTGAGACAAATCTCAAATACGATACATGCTACAAAAGGAAAATAAAATGTATTAATAAACATATGTATAGTGATAGAAATTGTAGATGTACATGTACAAAAATAATATAAAAATAACTTACTAAGGAAAATTATAAAACAGTAATATAGCGGAAATATTAATAAAGAGATATCGGAAACTGAAAAATAACATGGTTAATTTAAAGTAGATATAATATAAAGTAGATTAAAGTAGATATGGCGCAGAATTTTATATCTACTATAATGGTACAAAATTTCTAAAAGTAGTTTAAAAAAAAAGTACAACAGAAATCTACTGTGGGATACCAAAATATCGGTAGAAGTCTAAATAAAAATATTTTTAAAAGATTTGTATTACATATTTTTAAGTTATAAGAATTTGGGTCTTATGTTAAATTCGGTTGAATATGTATGGAGTTGGTATTAGTTAGATATGTATTTGTGGTTTTTTATGTGAATTTGTAGTCAGTTCAATGGTATGGACACGTCAGCGTGTCCATGGCGGGCGGTATGTTAAGGCAGTATCTGTAATATGTCTTTGCTATAATGTAGAAATAAAAAAATATTGTCTGGTAAAATATGGCGTAAAAAATATACGGAAAATTATATCGGAAATTCGGCACTTTTAATTTTATAGCAACTCTCGGATAAAACAATAGGTTTACGATCACTGACCATAAAATGGCCATTCAACGTTAACTCACGACTACCGAAGCCCTTAAGATAAGTGATAATGACTTTGTACAAAAGTCATTTACTTGGGCACCTCTGTCCCATTTGTGTTTCTACCGTGGAATATGACACTGAATTTACAGGGTACAGAGTAATAACACTGGAGTCCTCAAGAATGACAACGCATGGAGGGTATTATGGGCGAAACAGTATAGTCTGTTATGTCCATGGTACTGCTCATGTCTATAGTCGACGGTTTTCACTTTCCATCAGGTGGGCCGTCAGATTATTTGCCATTCTAAGTTACATAAAAATTAAAAAAAAATTTACATCACACGAAAAACGTCAAATGTTTTGTTCATATTAACTCATTTCCGTGGCAATGAATATGTAGTTATGCATAGTACACATATATATGAGAATAACTATATAATCTCATGATTAACAAATATTATGAAGTTCCATCTATAATCTTATTAAATATTATCACTTTTATACTGACCCTTTGTACTTTCCAGTTTGAGGCACAATGATGTAAGATGCAGCAATATCAATATCCAAATCAATAAATGTGTGATGATGAACAGCATACTGCATGCCTAATGCCGATTTCTCTTTCAAATCGGACAGTTTATTCTCGGCAGCAGCTTGTAAACTAGAAAATGATTAAGAAAAATTCTTATATAATACAATATATATATATATATATATATATATATATATATATATATATATATATATATATATATATATATATATATATATTATACCACAAAGGTGTCAAACAAGCATATATTCTATCTGGTGGTAAACAATCACTATATGTATGGACACCTGGAACACTAGGGGCGTCACGTGCACGTTATCGACCCAGAAAAAAAATTAATACATTCTTTTTGAAGAACCCCCATACTTTAGTATCCATATGAAACTTTTTAGAAATAAAGAAATATATTATAAATACAGAACAATTAAAAATTTATTAGAAATGTATAGACGAAAATATATACAATTAAACGCAATCAATGTATTGGTTTAGCATAAATTATGCCTTTGAATACAACACTACCCACGGCATTACTTCCATAAAGACGAAAGTATTAATGTATGCTAATTTAAAATTTATTGTTTTTAATATAAAATTATTCAGCTGTTTAGGAATGATTAAGCACAATAAATCAAACAATATTTTTACATAGTTCCTCGCTCATACTACATATTAGTGGGACAGTAGGATTTACTTACGTAGTTAAAGCCGTAGATTCGCTTGGCGGTTTGAATACGTTAACAATCTCTATCACCGTTTGCGCGTCGTATACAATTTGAAGCGGACGCGCAGACACTTTCACTCTTTGGTCGCAAGTGCCGTCTGAAAAACACAAAATAAGGATTTTTTTATGCAACTTAGAATGGCAAACAAGCTGACGGCCTGATGAAAAGTGGTAACTGTCGCCTATAGATATAAGCAGTACCATGGATATAACAGACTATATTGTTACGTTCATGATAGCCCCACCCCCCTCCCATGCGTTACCATTCCTGAGGACTCAGTTGTTATTCCTCTGTACCCTGTAAATTCAGTGCCATATCTCACCCTTCAAACCATAACACAGCTACGCAAAAACAACTGCTTCTCGGTAAAAACACGAATGAGACAGAGGTACCCAAGCAAACGACTTTTGCACAAAATCTCCCTCTGGCATCTATCTACTACCGGCTGTATCTCGCGACATTGCCCGCATAAGTTGGTATACAAAGTGTCACATATATATTATGGACCGTTTATAAAATGTATTTTTATATACTACTATAGTGTCAAATAAGGATACGGCCCGACTGATGGTAAATGGAGTTACCGTAGCCTATGGACGCCTGTAAGACAAGACATATGCACGTTGCCGACCCTTAAGAAACCTTAATACGTCCTTTTTGAAGAACCCCATGCTATAGACTCTAAGGAATTGTAAAAGTTTAAAATAATAGAACTGGTTAACCAGAATGTGACTTAATCCCATAAAAATGTCTAATAGAAGTACTATTAGACATTTTTGATACCAATAAAAAAATCAAATTTTATAATATAAAATTTAAAAATAAACGTGACATATATTTTGTTGTGAATAATCAAGAAAGAAGCTTATGCTCACCTAAAGGTTTAGTCTCAAAGACGACATTCAAAAGATTTACGTCCTTCGTAACTTCTTTAGAAGTTACAAGTTGTGGAATAAATTCATCTTGTTTCACTCCGGTCACGCTAAATGCTTGCATTTGCACGTCCACCCTGTAATTGTAACAAATAATTAATGTATAATGATCAGAGGACTTATTACAAAGTTTTAAAAAATTACTGGTTTAGGTCACGTGACTACAAACTGGCCTGTTGTGTCTATGCTCTTAATACCTATTCGGTGGCGTCAATCGCGCATAATAAGCAATATTAATACACAAGGCCTTAATCTGATGCCTTAGCCAAAATTTTGTGATTGCGCCTCTAAAACATGGTCATCAGGTGAACAAGGAGGGAAGGGTCTGCCCTCGAAGAATCCCATCTATTGGACAGGTCCTCCTGCTGTTCAGTCAATAATACCAACGTCAATTTTGAGGTATGCTGAGATTGGATCTTGGGATCCCAGACCAGTCAAGAGAGCTGTCTCCTGTAATTTATGATTTTACTAGCTGTTGTTATACCCCCTACTGCTACCTATTGGATCCTTTTTTTTCTTATCGGGAAAACTATCATATATCTGAATTTGAACCAAACAATATACATTTAGAATATTTCATTAGAATTGGTTGAACGAAATTGTAACCCCGCATGCGCCATCTGTATACGGCGGCGATGCGATAATAGCAGTGAGAGACAATAGGTGACGATGAAAGCAGGTCAGTTGGCCCACAGTGACGATTTCATTAACCACGATGGTTTACGGGAGAAACCCCATACGGGTCGACCTAATAGGGTGCAATGTGGCCGCTAGTCCCCATTACCGCCTCCCCCTGCCCCCCGTTGAACGGTTTCGTCAATTAGCGTGAACAAACATTGTGACACGGATTTAAGTTAAATAAAGATTATGTTCATATAAAAACATACCTCAGCGCATTAGCACTTGGTCTTTGGTTAAGGTCAACTTCAACATTGTCCACGCAGGCTTTGAGCACTTCAACGTCATCGTTCACGGCTACCTGAAGCCGATCGAGGCGGAAATGTCCCACGACGGCAACATACTCGACCGGCAAGTGTAGGGGAGCGGTGTTCTCCTGGTAGTCTATGGCACGGAACAGCTTCTCTTTCTCGTCTGGTGTCATGGCTTTTTCGAACTGTTTCACTGTTAATAGAAATAATTTAAAAATCAGTTTATACACTCACCAGTGTAACCTCTAATTGGCTAATTAGAGTCAAAGAAATAGTCCAATTAATATATATACAAACAATATAAGTACTTAAAAAAATACTGTTGATTTCGTTACCCGTGTACTTTTTTTTTGTTATCTGGCAATGAGCTAGTGTTGCCCAATATACCACATACAACAGACGGGAAACGGGACGTGAAATATATACTTTATTATACAGCTCCATTGTTTATACACGACTTTATGTATAAACCAATCGCAAATCAGTTAATTATTGAACAACCAGTTATATATTTTCATACACAACTATGCAGAAAGTAATCACATATAGAATAATTATGTATGTACATATATAACATATATGTACATAATTGCAGCTGATTTTCCAAACCAATCATAAATTAACCAATCATAGCTACAATAAATATTATTAATACATCTGAATACAATATATATCAATACATGTCTCAATAATAATAAATTATATCTAAGGAATGATAAATACTTTCTACCATCAACATAAATACATATTTTATTACATTAATAAATACGTAAGGATCGTAATTACTTATAGCGGTTCCCTCAGCATGCTCATCGTCCTTCGAGCTTGCACTGGACCACCAGCCGCCAAACCAGCCACGGGATTTCTTAGCTTCTGCTTCAAGTTTACCAAGCCTTTCGACCTATTGGGAAAAAGAAATCATAATACCATGTAAAAACGAAGAGAATGGAGAAAGTAGAATTTTTTTTCTCAACTTGGCGACAAATAATTCAAACAAATAATAACAGTGCATGCATTTTTAGTAAGCAGAATGTAGGACATCCCAGACAAATCTCTATGGTTTTTGTTATGCTTGTTTGATTGAACTTGATCTTTATACTGAATATAAATAATTTAAAAAAATACGAACTGAAAAATGAAGCTTACAATTGTTACATAACTTTTTTCAAATATTTAAAATAAACTACCGTGACTTAAAGCAATGCGATTGTAATTACATTTTTTTTATTTAATTTTATTATAAAAATAAAAACAGTAAACAAGACAAAATACTTTTAATATAGAGGGTCATCCAGGCCTCATTAAAAGTGGTAGTGGTAATATTAATATAATAATGTATAATATATATATATCGCCCATATATTAATATACACTATGTAAAGAAATCTTACGGTATGTAAAGAAAGTGATAAAATACATTTATAGTTCAAATGGATTATTAGGTTTTAGTTTTTATAGATAAAAAGGTTAATATTAAAAATTAATAAATACCTACCTCCATTTCAATCTTCTGCCTAATGACGACGAGGTTGAACAAATCCAGTTTCTTCTCAGCTTCATCTAATATGGCTTGCTGATCAGTGCTGACTTTTCCTTTATTGCTCAATTTGCTTTGATAGGCCGATGCGTAGTTTTTGCATAGATTTCTATGACTCAACATGTGCGTCCAGTCCCAATTTCTTCGGCGCCTGCGCACTTCCTCTTCTAATATACATTGGTAAGCAAAATGCCACCATTGTTTGTAGTGACCTTTGTAAAGTTTTAAGTCTGGGCGGTACTTTCTGTAAGAGATGTTAAACTTTATGGAGTATGTATACAGAAACGTAGTTTATAATTCAATATCATACAGGTCAATACTTCACATTATCTCTCCCTCTTACCCACTTGAATTTGGTCCATTTTGGTACCCCTGAAACCTAGTTATCAGTCGTGGCTAATACAACCAACCAAGCTTCGCCCAGAAGCATCAAAGCTTCCCAAGATCTTTACAGGCCTGACGGAGCGACCTCACTGTTCCTATGATTTCTGAATGTTGAGGGGCAACAGATCACAGTTTACTTAAATATGAATTATTTCTAATCTTAAATAAATACGATTTACGCAAATATCTTTCATTTTTTTATCAAATATATATTCCAACATAATTTTATTTAGAATAATATTATTAAAAATCATACTCTTTTACCAAATCTTTTTGTAATATGGATAAAATCATATTACGCCGACCCCAAATGATTGGGATAAGGGTAGAAAGATGACGATACTTTAAAAAAATCATTTGGCCTTAACCCGACATACTATCGATGCTTCTTTTACATTCATATAACAAACACAAATACCATAAGTAAATCAATATAGATATAGTACTCAATATTTATTACAGCATTAACTTTGCAAATAATCGAACAATCTTCAACTGTTTAAACAAGTAACAACTTTGTCTACAGACAAAGTTTCAAGGTACAGAAATCTTTTGTTTAGTTAAAACGTACGATAGTTAACATTTCATTAGTACAGTAAACAAAAATCAAATACATTTGACCTACTTTAACAAAATGAACGTTCATTCTTAGGTAGCAATTCAAGATTTTCCATCTATCCATTGTTACTTGACCTCAGCTGGCCTATGCAAATATACTATAACGGAGTTTAAGTCATTTTAGTCAATCAATTTGTTCAATTAACAAGTAGTTTCACATACCTATAGGGTGCGCCTTTACTCATCCTGTCCATAGAATCTGCGAGCAACATCATATCTCTGTATTGTGCCTTATTGAGACTGACTGAGAGTTGTTCCATATGTAATGTTAGTATCACCTTTGGTATACTAAATTTAGGAGTGTCACCCTCTGGTTTCGGATTTAATTTTAGTTTTGCTGTAGCATTTATTGGACCCAACGCTAAAAGTAAACAAGCAATTAGTACATTGATATGTAATGATTAGTGCACAAGTAGGATAGTGGTATCTCAGTCGGCACAAAGCTTAACTAAACAGTAAATCCAAAATTAAATTCTAACAATAAAAATCTCTCAAAAATATTGTAAGGAGTTAGACGGATGCTGCTCTCTTAAGACCTAACTTATCGGCGTAATCCTGGAAAGGTCTATAAAATTAAAAACATTAAAGCATTAAGAACATGGATGGACATTAATACCCTCAAAAATTATGGCAAAGCGTCAATAGATACAGATGGCTCAAGACTGTACTTAGTGAAATTTTATGAGACCTATATTCAGGAATGAATGTTGATATGTTTAAATTACTTGCGTTACGTTTCAAAAGATACGTAAAACCGTTAGTTATTCAGTAAAATAAATTAGTCATAGAAAAAAATTAAAAAAAAAATTATCTTACCATATTTGTAAAATGAAGGTTGAGATGTTTTTGTTGCTATCTCTTTCTCCAATCTGGTTTTGATTTCTTGTGTGGGACATTTTGAATATAATTCTGTTGCAGGATTCCAATATATTGCTAATCCTTCCAAATTCAAGATCTGGAAATAAATAATTATTTATGACAAATCAATGAATTAAATATTCATTTACATATGGTTCTTATATAAAAAAAAATCTAATTAATGTAATGCATAGAGTAAGTTTGTTTTTTATTTTGTTGTATAAGTGCTAAATTTTCAGGTTTGTAAAATATGTTTGGGTATATTAAAATAACAGGAAAAGTACTAAACCTGTCGATATAATAAGGAAATAGATTACAATAATACAAGAGCTAATTAAAAATTTCGTTACATATGTTATGAAAAAAATGAAAAAAAAAAACAACTGCCGAATATATGTAAGTGCTTCACTTTCGAACGACTGCATCTATTTAGCAATTTTTTTTAATTATATAATTGTGAGGACAAGGTTTGTACGAAAGAAAATATTTGAAAAATCATAAGTAAAAAATTTAGGTTAATTAGTACTCCGTGCAAAGTTAATATGGAAAACTAGTAGAAAACAATAATAGTTATATAACGTTTGTGAAGTTTTTATTAATCTACTAATCTTCTAAGTAATGCATATGCATCGAACAATCATGTTATGTCCATGGCGCTATCCATGTCTATAGGCGACGGTTACCACTTATCAAGTGGACCGTCAGTTTATTTGTCATTCTAAGTTGCGTACAAAGACTTGTGCTTTAATTTTCTATATTTTGTAACTGATTATAAAGGTATATAGTGGTTAACCATTATATGAATTATACCCATCGTTGTGGTTGCAATTCTTTATCTGGGAAATAATGTTTGTAGAGGACGTTTATATGCCATTAATCTCTGTTCAGTTGAACACATATAGCGTGGTAATCAGGGATTGATTTTAATTAAACATAGTATTGCGATAACTTTTACACTAAAAATTATATAAACAACATTAAACCGACAGCATCCACGGAGAGGTAATAAATTGATAAATGAGATTGACTTAATAAATTGTGGAACGTTGATAAAATATATAAATAATATTTTATGTAGTATAGGCTTGCAATGTTTATGAGAAGAAATCAAAGGATATTATATTCATATTCTGTTCCAAGCTCTAATAGGTGATTTTCACCTATTAGAGCTTGGAACGCTAAGAGAAAAAAGAATTATATTATATAGTTAATATTTAGAACACGGATAAACCTCTGTTATTTAACAAAATAATGCAGTTAAAACCCTCATATGACCGCGCGTACTATTAATGACTAATGACTAAATAAAGAATTTAAAGTTTTAATATAAAATTATAAATTGTAAAGTCTAGTAATTGTGTTTTTTTTATACCACTGAGGTGGCAAACAAGCATACGGCCCACCTGATGGTAAGCGGTTACCGTAGCCTATTAACGCCTGCAATACCGGAGGTATTATTAAGCGCGCGTTGCCAACCCTGAAGAAGCCTTTTTACCACCCTTTTGCTGTAGTCTCTTGGGAAAACCTCGGCAGGGAGCTCATGTGTCAATCTGTATCACAAGTATATACCACTTGATTGTAATTAAATTGACGTTGTTGTGATTATTATTATGTATGTATCATATTGAGGGAGAGTTTAAAGTCATTGGCCATGAAGCAGCTATGCTTGCATATTTGTGTTTTGATTTGAAAGGCATTACTCCTTAATCCTCAAAGATGGCAACGTATGAATGGTATTATGGGCATCAGTTGTATTCAGTGAGATTTAGGTGCTATTTATGTCTTTAGGCGTCAGTTACCACTTGCAATTAGGTGGGTCATAAAAAACCTACCTTGAAAATTTTGGTCACAGCTTCTTGTATAACGGCCTGCTTCCAATTTTCATCTGTTGTATGGACGGAGAGATTGTGCAGTGTTATACCGAAGGAGAACGGCGCCTTTGGGTTTGTTATGCTATCCTCGTAGCGTATGTGTATGTCTGTTATTTTTAACTGTACATTCTTGATGATCTGTGTTACTAACTTCTCCACAAACGTCTCGTCGAGTTTATTTTGATCTGCGCAACGTTAATATTATTATAAGCAATTAGAAGTGCGGTTTGCGCGTACGGAACACATTGTCAAATTGCTTAAAAATCAAATATAGTTTAATCAAATTAATTGATTTTAATACATTGATAGACCACAATCCTAGATCAACACAAAAGATATTTTTGTTCTTATACACATGAACAAAGCCGTGAGGGTCAACTAGTTCTACTAACATTTTAAAAAAATATTGTTATACAACCATGCTTAAACGGCTGAACGGATTTTGTAAACAATTAACAGGTAGAACATTCTTATTTTAGTAAATTACGGTTACGGTCAGTATATTATAGCGGGATCCCGCTAGAATATACTGAAAGCGCAGGCGGAGTTACCATTCCATTGTCGTCCATAAAAAAAATACAATACTAGTATAAAAATTGTAAGTAGCATGATAAGGAAACACCAACCTTTCTCTGCCTCCTTTTTTTTAGCCTCCTCAACCCTGGCGAGTTCAGCCTGTTTGGAGGCTAGCGCCATTTTCTCCTCCTTCTCCGGATCATATTTGACTTCAGCGGTGGGATTCACGATAAGAAACAGGCGGTCCACAGTTGCTTCCACTGACGCACCGTAGAGATTTTTCCATGGTATTTTCAGTACTAGTTTTCCTGTTTAACCAAATAAAGTGAAGATTTATTATATCGTGTAGCTGCTTATTTGGCATTATCGTCACTATATAGTATAAAACAAAGTCGCTTCTTGTCTGTCTGTTTCTATGTATGCTTAGATTAGCTTTAAAAGTACGCAACTGATTTTGATGCTGTTTTTTTATAATTTAATACGTGCATAATATAGTAGAGAAACACTAATAATTTTTGAGGTTTCTAATGTAATGTGCACCCGTGCGAAGCCGAGGCGGGTCGCTAGTAATTATTAAACAAAAACGGCATTTTTTTATCTAAAACAGTTTTTTTTTTTTAACATTAATACACAGACAAAAAAAACATTATTAATTTTATTCGCTCTATCAATTCGAATTTATTATTGCTTAATTTGTAATCATAGATTACCGATTAAAATACCATTAAGCGATACTAAATCTGAAGAAATATAAGCCATCAAAGTTCATACAAATAAAATATAAATAATTTACTTAAATAAAAATATTTTTGTGTTAATATATTATGTATTATTGTAGATTATTATTTGACGGTATTAATTTTTAATGTCTATTTTTGATAAAAAAAATATGCGTATATATTACTTAACAAAAATTTGAGAAATAACAAAAAAATACATTACCTACAAATAGTATAGTGATTTTTACAGCATAATGGTAAAAATCACTGTACTCGTAATATGAACTTTGATACTGAGGATTCATTGTCACTTAATGGTGTTTTAAAGGTAATGTATGGTCATAAATTAAGTGATAATCAATTCGAATAGATAAAGCGAATAAAATTAATAAACGATTGGAATAGCGTTAAGTAAACAATGATACATTGCAAGAGATCACTTATGTCTTCATTCCCATGGAGTAGACAGAGAGAACCGAATACCAAAACTACTAATCTTACAAACGTTTCATATAGTACGATAAAAATACATTATAATCTCCATAACTTGGAGGAAAAAAGACTGTTAGTAGTGGAGTCGGAACACCCTTGCTAGCAATATGCCCCATCAGATCGACCTCAACGAATTAATTTTGACGTATTAATGAAGTTTGGTTAATAATCGTTAAATTTGTCACGATGAACCTACTCTCTCTACGGACTCATCTACTTCATCTTCACCTATCATTCTTCACTGGTACCACGCCAGTGTATACCGATAGCGCAAACGGGGTCACCATTTCATGTTTACTTCTTACGAAATATCTTCACATCCTACTTCTACTACTAGCATAATTTTGAATGAAATTTGGTAAACAGATGGATAATGTCCTAAATTAACACAATGGATAATTTTTCTAAGGAGGAAAATACGTGACATTCCCACTTACTAACCTTATTTAGCGATTTATGGATTTACACGTATGTGAACATTTTACTGCTTTTATATTCGTAAATGATAATAAAAAGGAAATTTGCGATAACAAATATGTACCTATAGTTTAAAGTTAGACGTGTTGTTTAAAATATATGCTATATATTTTCCATAACAGTTACAGTTTAATATAGAGATGCGAACTATGGCATTGATTGATAGTATTTTTAAAAACATGCACGTGAGTAAGCCAACTTTAAAAAGTGAAGATTTACAGTTTATCTAATTAAATCAAGCCGTGATACAGATTGAAACTTTTTTAATAACAAATTCGTAAAAAATATTAAACATTTTTAAATAAACCAATACCTACAATTGACCCCCATAATAGAGTTTCCACATAGATATTTCTGTTATTACTACTTTTCATGGTAAAGTACTTCAGATTTATGTAGGAAATCGTATACAGGGTACTTAAAGATACTCGTACTTACGTAATATAGACATTACGTCCTTTGCTTTACTACCGACTGAAATCCATCCAGATCTAGAGTAATGACCTCATAAACTCATGTTTTATGCGGTGTTTTATTTACCTTATCTCATGAGGAGAAAATAATTCTATGTTAGTACTTAATTATTCTACTCATACTACGTACTACTTCAATTGTCATTTTAATTTTATTACAAATGAAACTCAAGTGTTTATATCGCTTAATATCTTTAATAATTACATTTTTGGAATTTTAAAAAGTCATAATATATAAGGACGAAAATTAATTTTATTGTTTAAACATTTAAAAAAAGAACCGATATATATGATAATTTCATATATATTGATATCAACGCGGAAATACGCCTTATCAATCGTAAAATAGATACTTCCGTGTATCATGAAAATAGGTTCATTCAGAGGTTTAATTATCGAATCAAATATAACACATACAAAAACAAAACAAGTTGATAACCTCCTCCTTTTCGAAGTTGGTTGATTTACCAAATACCTAACATTCGTAAACAAAAACATTATCAAACGTTATAATTAACAATATATATTTGTCACCTACATTTCGAGCTCTCAGAGTCGACACAGCGCTACTTGTTTTTTATTTTAAATATTTACTTCATGTTAGTTGCTTCACAATATTTAAGCGCAATCGTGTGAATTAAACTTTAGAGCAATCGCTAAATATATTAGATAATTTTGTCTATATTTATGTAAACATCACGCTATGGAAATATACCTAGAAAATTTATTGTACCACCGATATCTATCTATATTGAATCTAGATTACTCATAAATAAATAAGAAAAATACTAACAGTCTTTTTCATAAAAAATAAAACATACAAACATATTTTAGCTATTGAAGTGTTTTTTCACTGTTTTTATACTAAGAATTCAGCACAAAAGAAAACGCAAAACAATGGCTAAAGTAGGTTTATGGAGGTTGACGTTTTTATGAATAAGAGGGTTAATGGTTAATAACATAAAATATCAAGAAGACCTAGATTTTGAAATAGATATGCAACAATTATATACCTATTACCCCAAATGAAACAAGTTCTGAATCTAGGTCACAATGCACCAAATTTAATGGCAGACGAAAACAAGCGCAGTTGGTAAGTTGGTAAGCGTATCGCACAAGTACGGAAGGAGATTTATCTAATTTTTTTAATTAATGATCGTGATAGGTCAATTACCGTATTAAATAGAACTCAATATTGACTCAGCTAGTTAATAATTAATGTCAAAATAATTAAATATTTTTTAATATAATATGTATGAGATCGTCTTGAAACCCATTTCATTAAATAAAGATACATTAAAATATTGCGTTAAAAACACAAAAAATACAGCCAAATTTAGCATCATCTTTTTGAAAGTCTGTTCAAAAATTAAGTAAAACAAAAATATACTTAACGGGTAAGTTGTAAGATAAGAATATAGGTATTTTAGATATTCGGTGCATGATAGGCAGTGTAAACGGAGGTCAACTAATGACCTTCAGATCCCGTCTGACTCACTAACACAATCAAACAGTCTAATTTGAGGGCATGATGTCACCGCTCTGAACTTTATTACGGTGTCACAATTATATGCTACTCTGCTGTCTATACTGAATATATGCTAAGTGGTGTAGTGGTAACCTTGCGTAACTGCGGCTGGTTGCCATGCCAAGAAAGGGAGCTGTTATTATTTACCGTAGCACGACACGATATCGTAAGTTTTGACCGTCACGATATAGGCAAACAAAACAGAAGAGCAAAATATATCAGGTGCTTTTATAATTTTCCTGAACGTTCACGAATTTCACGATATTCGGAAAAATTAAAAGCATTGCTATACAATTGCATACATTTTGCATTCCTGTTGTTCATCAACTTATATATCAAGATATAGATATTTGGCACTTGTGTCTCACTGCCTACTTTGTAAAAATGCGACATGAATAGAAGAGAGATTGTTCAAGAGGCATTGTAGTAGTTTCTACAAGTTTCAGGAAAATCACGTCCAAATAACTACATACTCTTTAATATTTAAATTAAAAAAAAAAATTGTAAATATTATGATGACCGGGTTGTGTATAAATATTTTCTGTCTAGTACTAAACAGAGGCCTCCCCCTATTGTGAGGCTATTGATAATTCTTTGTTGAATTTTTGTATAACTTGACAAACAAGCTGAGAGCTAGATATGAAGATATGAATCTATTGGCAACAGTTTTCACTTTTCAATCAGTGTGTTCTCAGCTTGTTTGTCAAGTGTTACTGCAACTGCTCATGTAGTACTGTGGATGGATTTATGTACCATTATTAGTTTGTAAGAGTGGTATGGTATAGTAGAAATAAGATCCATCTCCATGCCCAATAATTTGAATGCTATATCCCAGCCCTTAAACCAGAACACACCTAAGTGAGAACACCAGTTTGGCAGCAGGAAGAAATCTGTTAATGTGACTAATGTGGATGATTTTTGTAGAAAGTCCTCTCCACAAAATCAAAAACAGAAAACAGTATATACAATTAATATTTCATGTATAACTTTCTGTTATGTTTCAGTTTATTCATTATTATTTACATTAATCTACAGGTGGTGTGTGTATAGGAAGTCTGTAAACATACATATTTATGTTAATATTATAAAAAAGAAAGTATCAATTGTTTATTTGTAATGGATAAATTCAAAAACTACACAATAGATTTTAAAAATTTGATCACCCATAGAAAGCTATGTTATCAGTAATAAGTAAATATTTAATTATTGTTATAATATTAAATTCATAATTTTAATTACAGTATAGTTTCATACAACTAATCTTGATTCCAACAACACATTTATTATATCACCCTCAAGACTTCTGTCTATGCATACAAATGTGCTACCAAAATCCTTAAATAGAAGACCTATTGTTCTCTCCTAATGGTATAGCTGTTTTATGTGTATATTTATAATACAGGTGAAAGAAAGTTGGGGCATGTCTAAAATACATTGTGTCACTCCTTTTCATCCTTGAGAAGTAAAAATATAAGTTGTATAAATAAAAATAAACTTTATTAATGCAAAAATATGCCACAAAAATATTAGGAACACTTTTACAGCTTATGGAAAACAATTAATTTTACAGTTGAATAAAGTAGATTTTTTTAATATTCATATCATGTTATGTGAAATGTAATGTAAAATTAACCTATTTATTCCTAAAAATATTTAACGTCTAAATCAAATCTCATAGAAAATAATTTACTAATATCACATGCATTAGTTAAGGAAAATTAACTAAAACAAAATTTAATATACATAAAATAAATGATTATTAGTTTTCTTGTTTGCTCTGTAAAAATAGCAAACAAAAAATTGGTATTATTACTGGCATTAATCCAGATAAAAAGAATTTTTTTTTTTTTATTTAAATTTGAATGCCTAACATGGTAAGGTGCTTAAATTCATTTTAATCTAGATTTAAACTGGAAATAACTATTAGTATCCTGTCACCTCACAATGTATCATTGTTTATGTTGATTAAGCTGTAAACCTATTATTTATTGTTATCATAAAACACTCACCCAAGTGGCCATAAACTGTCTGAACAGGTATATTAAGTTCTTCTAGAGCATTCTGTTTTAATATCAAATTTTCTAACACGACATCACCTGAAATACAATCAATATTGAATATTTGTGTATATAATGTAGGCATAAATTATAATGCAGGTATGACATCATGCCGGGGACTCACCTCCCCATATTCCTAATTTGAGCTGAGATCTGTTCAGGTTCTCCACGTAGTCCCCCAGGAACCTGTTCAGCACGTCCACTACAATCGATTCGAACACCATCGCGATAGGACTTCTTCACAAATAAATTAAAATTACATTAAAGTACTCATGTCATGGTCCGCGGCGGTAACTCATGGTTGCGTAATTTATTAAATATAGGTATTATAGACCTGCACTTTACAACAGCGAATTATTTTTATAAAAATGATAAAATTTATATTAAACTCATTTAAAAATCAAAATCTATTTTCACGAGCTCCCTAGGAGAACAACAACGCAAATCTGAATGTTGACAGCTCAAATCTTTTATTACCCATTACCCGAACAACACAAAGTAAAAAGAATAAAACATTACATTATTAAATACAAATCGATAACTAAATCAATTTACTTAGCTAATATTTTTATGTTTAGTAATCTAGTTAAAACATATTGATATTATTAACTAGATGTTTACCGCAGCTTTGGCCGAGTAAATCAATATGTAAAGTATTCTATCTGTCAAGATGAGATATAACCTATTCGTGTAGCAAATTTCATTGAAATCTGTCCAACCAAAAGGTTTTAGAGTTAATGATAAAGTGGGATTGGGTACCATAAATCTATTTTTAAACATACGTAGTCTTTATATTCTTTCAATATTATTAGTAATATAGGAATACAAAATGCCGACTATCACTACTGACACAACGACATCAATTACTATACTAGGGATAACACTTTTGATTTTCAGTCGTTATTTATAACATTAAGATATTATTAATTATAATAAGTAACGACTGATATATTATTACTATATTATGAATAATGTATTCTTCAATTAATTACATAAATCCAAAAATGGACATATCAAACAAATAAGATTATTTAAAACTAATCTTTACCCGCCGTTGTCTTCGCATGACTGGGATATTTATTTATTTATATTGAATGATTGGGAAATAATATAGACATAATTAAAAAGGGTAAGATTTATGATATGGCAACATTATCGGAAAACTGTCAATGTCATATATTTTACTCGAAACATAGATAAAGATTGTGCCTGTTAGATACGACTCGAAGTGTCAAAATTTTTCCCTATCATACCGAATTTTTTATTGGATGACAATGGAATAGTAACCCCGCCTACACTATCCGTATACACTGGCAGGACACCATTGAGGGATGATAGATGAGCATGAAAGCAGATCTGTTAGCCCATCATGACGAATGCAACAAGTATTAGTCACAATGGTTTTCAGGGGGAACCGCGTGGAGGTCGACCTGACAGGTCTTGCTAGCAATGATGCCATTGATCTTTATTACTAACAGTCCCTTTCCCCCTATTATTCCTATTACTTTACCATATTATTACCTATCCTTACTAATATTATAATTATGAAAGAGTTTTTACTTTAACCAATCATTTATTTACTATAAAATTTGTTATACACGTAGTTAAGAGAAGGAGATATAGACTACTCTTTGACTTTTTATTTCGGCCACATGGACAAATTTGTTGTGGAAAAGGTCAAAGGTAATAAATAACACCTCGAATATTTCCTGACTTCATCTCCGTTTCTATCATCAGATTCTAATATGGACTTCCATAGCACAGGTCGTTTCAGGTGATAATTTATATCACTATTATCATCATATCATATATCAGCTCTTAACTGTTCACTGCTGAACATAAGCCTTCCCTAGAAGGGAAATTTTGCCAGTTGTTGTCATGCTTGGCAGGCGTGTTGGTAACTGCAATTAGGCTTTCAGTAGTTTTAAGAGGGACGTTGTTGCCCATCCCTTAGTCGCCTCGTACGACACCCACAGGGAAAGAAGGTATGGCATATTCTATGCTAGGACTATACGGGAAGGGGGATATTTTTTATTAATATGACAGAGATCAAAGATATAATTCGTTTTCTAAACGACTTCAAAAAAGGTCTTTATTCACCTGTATTTTTTGTCTATTTTCTGCGATATCTTAACAAAACTTGAACTGATTTTGATGATTCTTTTGCAATTGGTAGAGTTCGTAATTCTCATCTTATATTATCACTTTTATACTCAGACGTTCCTTTTCTGTAGAATATAATCTTAAACCTACGAAATATATAAGTCACATAATAGATGGTATTAATAATTAACGTAGCAGATTAGCGTAGTTTCATTAAATAAAACGAGTAATCAAGATTTTTTTACTGAATAGACATTTATTAAAAATTATAACAACTGCATTTTAAAAAAAGTGTATGGAATGCACACTCAATCAGTAGGTATAATATTTCTGTACGAATATTGAAAATTAACTCTGACACGTAGCATGCACACAAGTAAATTATTTAATAAATCGACAATACCTACACTATTTAAAATATTACTGACCGGATGAATGAGGATAAACCGACGCGATAGAGATATTTATTTATGTATGCTGTATCTCGTGACTTTGCTCGCGTGATTTAGTAAATAAAGTTTCCTATGTGCCGATTTAAGACATCTATTTTACCTATGTACAAAATTTTCACTCACTTAAGCAAGGATAATAAACATCCATTACCTTAAATGTCATAATCTTTGATATTAAAAGTAGCCGCACATCTATCCAAGCAGAATACGCCAGAAGAACCGAAAGAATAGAATTTTAAAATTAATTGTATGAAATCGTGTGAAACCTCAAACACAAAAATAAAATTTCTATCTTATTCAGTGAAATCTTTATTATTAAGACCAATATGAATTAATTTTCTAAGACATTTAAGTCAAAATTATTATAGATTTAGTTTATAATGGTCCCTAAAATAGTATTTCGCTAAATTATCAAATTAAAACACTTATTAGAATTGGTCTCGTTTTTGATTCGTTCCGCGTGGATAAGTGTGCGATAACTCTAAGCAGGATTTATAATTTGTGTTCACATCAGATGTTAAATTTACAAATTAATGTTTTGAATGTCATATACAGTCGTACTCGAAACGGAATTTTTTGCATGATTCCAATTCATATACCGATTACATACTACTCTCTATATTTTACAAAATTTTGCCAATAAAAATATATACTCTTTGTTTGTAACTACAACAGCCATAAAATCACCATTATTATTATATTAACATCACAACATTGTGTAATTTAGATATAATCGAGAATGCATAAAAAAAAAAATAAGTTCCAATAAGTATCGTGCTTGTATAGTTGTATATAGTTGTAAACAATTCTCATTATAAACACATTGAAACTGTTGTATAATTATGGTTGTACAAACTATTTGAGTTTTAGTTGCAAACAGTCTTGTATTAACTGAAAATATTATTTCAAATATGTTTACAGAGTTTCATAAAAATATTGTATAGATGTTGAAGATGAACTAAAATTTTGATCCTGACTAATCATGATGAATAAAATAAATTGAGATTTAAATATTAGTCACATATATCCAGCAAGTATACATTACACAAAATTATAGAAAAAGTTATTCGAAAAAAAGTTGTTGTAAAGAGATTGAAATGAGATTTATATAATAACAAATTAATATAACTAATCATACTAAAATTACTAACATTTAATTTAGTAAAGTAAGCCTCATGAGTGACAATAAATGTGAGACTGAGATATACTTAAACCTATTTTGGGCTGCTTTTAAATATAAATTGCTATGATTCTCAAATTCCTTACTTTCTTACCCTTCCAGCACCGTAAACCTTGCGGAGACAAATTAAACTTAAATTTGTTTAAATGCAAAATAAGAGCGTTTATTACCTTATATTACTGGCAGCACATAAATTATTTGTAAATTTAAAAAAATATTTATACAATTTTCAATATTTCTGAATCATTATCATTTAAAAAGTGGCTGGTTACTATCCTAAAACATTAATAACAAATAAAGAAGTGGTAGACAAAATACCATTAAAAGTTTGGTAACTATTAAGGTTTTCTCTTAAAGATTCTATAGGTATACACAATTTCCTTAAACGTTTAATATTAATTCCATTGTGATAACGTTTTATTTCAATATAAGAGGACTTCTTAAATTAACATTGAAAAATATACAAATGTTGCCAGTAAAATTTTTGGAACAATCTTTACAATACGTTTTTATTAGATAATCATATACCCAATTACTATTAGATAATAATGGTGTAAATTATAATTTGAGGTTTACTTACTAAACAAGCAATAACAACTTTATTTAAAGTTTATATAGTAAACATTTAAATAATATTTTTTAATTAAATAAGGATTACCAATTTCACTACATTCAAGGTTATAATTACAATTTGTTATATGTCAATGGAAATGCATACTTTTTATCTACATACACTTACAAATTATTTTAATTGAGAGCCAAATGGCAACACTTGAGCAAGAGGTGTAAGGTCAGCTTGCCAGTCTCAGTAATACAGAATAAAATAAAAATCAAAGGAATGTAAATAATTTTGAACCTCCTATACTAACAAGGCGAACCCAGTTGTCGAATTAATATGGAAGATAAAAATTGTTTTTTATGCTTATAACCCAATTTTTTTTTTTAAAAAAAGATATTCTTTAAAAACTCTCTAAAAAAACACTTAAAAGAATACCAATGAATTAAATTTCATTCTGTATAGAAAATAAACATTGTTTAAAATATCATTTTGAATACATTTACACTAATGACTAATACATTTTAAAGTTAGAACATATTTAATTTATAAATTTTACATGGGGCAATTGTCATAATTCATATTCAAGTTACTTCCACAAGCATTACTTACATTAAATAGATGATACTTTTTAGACTAGTTTTTCATAGTATGCGTAGAATATGTAATAGAGTTGAGAAAAGATATATCTGCTTGCTTTGCAATCGTTTCAAAATGTTTGCATCTGCCATAAATATTACGCACTTGGCAAGTGTTGATAACGTAACGATGTTAATGACCAAGCTACTTTTGAAATGCGAAAAATACTTGACATTTGATCTAGATATTTAACCAGGATCTTAATACCTTGAATACTTAAGAATATGCTTAGATTCTAAATAACTATTATATAAAAATCAAATATTGATAGCTAATGCGTAACTCTGCAATTATATTAAATAAAAAATGGCATATAGGTACAATAATAAATTCCACAAAATATATAATTAAAAATTGTACACTTTTTAAGAGAACTTTAGAAATCATCACTAATTATATACAACAGAATCGATCCAAGATGAAAGACTTGCGATTTAAATTTCAACAATGCAAATAAACTGTGTACTAACAAAATACATTTAATAGAAGATAAAGCCATGAACCCACAGTGGGAAAAATTACCGCTGCCAATGACATTGTAAAATATATTTTACCATAAACAACGTAAAATTTAAATTTTATTGACAAATAGCTAGACGACCTTAGTGTGTGTAAAATCTTTATTGTACAGATTTTACACAGGACGCATTAAAAAGATTTAATATACAATAACGAACTTATTCCATGGAAGGATCTCTTACAGTCAACCGTTGAGACACTGAAAGAAAACTATAGGATGTTCAAGGGTAAAAACTCTGCACTTAAAGATAAAACTTAATAACTCCTAGTTAAAATTAAACACAAAGTTCCATAGCTATATTCCAATAACATTGTGTACACCTACATATATAAAATATAATAATAATACATAAATAATAAACCTGCACACATATATATATATATATATATATATATATATATATATATATATATATATATATATATATATATATATATATATATATATATAAACAACATAATACATATACAGTGGATTTCGGGTATAACGACGATAAAGAGACCACTCTATTCATGTCGTTATATCCGGAAGTCGTTACAGGCAAAGGTAAAAAGATACAGACACGTAGAGATGTATAATTTTTTATTCGCACAAATCAGTAGTTTTCACAGTTTTTTTTATTTTGAAATGATTTCCGCCTTTTCTTTAACAGTGAATGTGCGTCGAGGTAGTCATACTTATTCAAAAGTTTACTAAACTCAGTTGCTACTCAGAATATCACTTTATAATTGAACTGATATCTATAAACAATAAATAAAGGTCTCCATACTTGCTGACCGTCTTTGTGGATGTAAACAAAAGGTTAGAAATGTTTGTGAAAGAAAGACCTCTTGGTGTCTCTTTGGCGGCCAACTTCGGTCGCAATATCTGCATGGGAGTTCTAGGAATTTGTTACAAATGAAATTCATCTATTCATCTAATCATTAAAAATAGTCGCCACACCCGAACTTAGCGTTAAAGCGGCTCTAAAGTCACTATAGTTACATGAATTTTGTACTAAAACATGCTTTAAACTCAAGGGACTTAGATTTAACGTCGCTATAGATAAATGGTCGCTACAACCAAGGTCGTAATAAATGAAATCCACTGTATTTACAATTGATTCAATAAAACAGGAGTTTCAGAACAAAATTTTATGACACCTGCTTTAAATGATTTTAACAACTATGCAATCTTCAAGTTATAAGAAAGAGATATCCAAAGATCTGCAGATTTCATCTTACATATCGTCTCTTCAGGTATCAAATTAAGATGTTTATTACAAAACCAGTTTAATCCATTCAGCGTAATGTTCAAAAGTAATATCACTAGAAGAAAATATAAATTTACGAAGCTTTTCAGAAAAAAAAAATTAACCCCATAAATCTATAAAATATGCCATAAACGAAGGTATAATAATACATTCTTAACTTTGAGTTACGAGTTGTTTGAACAGTCAGCCACAAAAGTCTATGAAAGTGAAAACTCTACGATAAGAACTACATATAGTATCTTTATACAATTTAGTCATTTACATTTGTTGCTGACTATACTTATAAAAGTATAAAAATATTAACATATTTGTATTATGCTGAATTATACTGACTAGGAAGTATCTACTACAAAGTTCTAATACACATGTGACGGGACTAAGTATTTATCCAGAGACCAAGTGAATATTCTACTCAACTAGGTGTTATTTTGCATCAGTTCATATCACTGGCTATTTAACGAGTAACGATCTAATAATTTGCCTGAAGAAGAGAAACACGTGTCACAAAACGTGCACGGACGAAATGGCAATCGAAATGGTCTTGCAGCAACGCGAAATATCAACCTGATATAGGAAAATCTATTAAAAAATTAACCAATCTAGGAATTTTTGAATCCAATAACTTGCAACACTGAAAAAAATGGCGCGCTTATAGATTATTAAATATTAAATATAATAATTCAGTAAAGCAAACTGACATTTGACTAACTAAATTTTGATCTGTTTTTGACACTCGATGCTCCATCAATATATTCTTTAGTCATTTGGTATAACCGTCACTTTTACTTGAAACTAGCTCAGATGACTGATATTTGTTGTCGTGGCATAACAGATTAAAGCCGTAAATTTATGAGTTGTGACGCCGTAATATCCTATACAACAGGGACACGATATTGTCAAGATGGCCAAAACTTATATCTACCTATCTATACATGCTTTAATGTCACAATGTTACAGACAATCTACAATAGACATCATAAAAGAGAAAAATTTTAAAAATACTTTTCTGTACTTATAAAGTACAGATATTTGTTACATATAGCAGTAAGTCTTACAATTGAATTGTTCATTAATACATTACATTAATAAATAATGGTGGGATAGGGCAATGAAATTACTGGGTACAAAGGCGTGATAACTTTGTCCTCGGGTATGACAACGTATGGGGGATGCTATGGACACGGCAGTATTCTATGTGATGCCCATGGTATTTGAAACATGGTACAAGAAGTTATAATAAGAAGGAACAGTGTGACCTGACAGATTATAACTAATCAAGTTGACTTCCACACTGTTGCCCCTGGAAACCACAGTTAATTATTGTTGAATTCGTCACGATGGATCATCCGACCTATTTGATGCTCACTTATCATCAGTTACTGGGGCCCGCCAGTATATACCGCAGACTATACGGTAGGCAGTATATATGATAGCGCAAAAAAGGGTTATCCCTTCAATTCCTTCCTATTTCAATTTTCAACCATTAAAAAAAATTGTAATATAAAGGAGCAGTAAATTGCTTGAGAAGAAAACAGATTTTGCTTTGTATGAAATGTAATACAAATGATAAGATAATAAATATAAAATTCCACGACTATTTTAACTTATTGAGAGACAAGAACTATCCATACATAACTTACAAATAGCAAAGAAATATTCAACAATCTAGCAAACAGCAAATCCTTACATTCTATTACAAACGGAAACTGATTTCTGATATTATTTTAAGCAAAATCATATCCTTAGAAATTCACCAAATAATATATTACCCAATTTCATCAAAAACCGTAAGAATATAGCTCAAAAGAACATTCCAATACCAAAATCCTTTTTTAGGCATAACATTTGGCATTTTTATATAAATACGTACATATGTACGTTATCAGTTTTTTTTTTACACATATCTCATACACATTCATAATAATAATAATCAGCTCCGAATATATATAATCAATAAAAATATATTTATATAAATTTTAATATAAAGTAGAAGTTTCATTATTCTAATCATTCTTTACACCATTCACTGGTTTACCATTTTCAATAATTGATTTGTCTTCTATCAAAGTTAGTATATCTTCCTCGTCTGCAATAGATACATTATAATTAACATTAATAAAATCATATAAATATCAAAATAATTTAATCTTTTCATTAGGAGAACCTAGAGAATCATATCAACAAATGTTTTTTAACCAATTTGAAAAAGGAGATTCTCAATTCAGTTACATTTTTTATAATAATAATACTATAATATACTTTATTACTCAGACTACAATTTGGTCCATTTTGTTAGTAACAGTTTTCTTACAAACTATGTTAGTAAAAAAGAAAAGCAAATTAATTTAAGCAGTTCACTCAGATGTGACCCAGCCGACTAGATCAGCATCTAAATGAAATGCCCAATTATAGGCAAGTTATATTTATCTCCTATTACTTTTACTTTTTTATGTTTGTTACCTCATAACAACGTTAGTTGTAAACCGATTTGGAAAATTAGTATTTTTATCGGAAAAAATGTACTTACAGATTTGTCCCATAGAAATTTTATCAAAATCAGTACAGTAATTTAGTTTTTAAGTCAAATCAATGGTTTTTCCAGAATTAAAGTTTTTTTTTTTTGTGGAACACAATATTATCTCCGATTCATAAAATCATTCATATTGTATAACTCAACAGATGAAAGCAATGCGTTAATAGCATTGCTTTCAGGCCCTCACTCCTAGATACCTAACAAACTCAGCTGGGTATGAGAAATGAGTTGTATTATGTGTACCTTTTAACTTTTTTTGGTCTTTTAGAATTCATATAAAAAAGTATATTCAAATGGATTAGAAATTGCAACTGACCTGAACTAACATCGGACTGGTTCCGAGGGCTGAATCGACAGCCTTTAGATAAGTAGCTTTTAAGTTTCCCAAGCGAAGCTAATATTAATCTGTGAACATAAATAAACATATTTACTTTTTACAATAAATAGAGATCCAATCTAAACCCATATCTGTAATAATATTAAAAAAGTAAGTAAAGAAGTTACATATATAGACATTTAGTCCGTTTCAATAAAACTTAATAAAAAGGTAACTAAGTGAAAATAATAACAAATTGTAATATTTAAGCAATTAATCAATTTACTGTTTTATTATTGTATATCAGCAGATTGTCTTATGGTTGGGGCAATTATTTTTATTCTATCTTTGGTCTGTATCAATAGAAGTTCTATTGACACAGACTAAAGATCCTTTTTTTCCTAAATCATATGGAAAAAAGCACAGATTATAACTGGCTTAGCTCACTATTTAGGATAACATACCCTAAAGGTGCGCACGTCAAAAGGTACATTTGTATGTATAAGGGTTATAATTATTATAAATGCCAATAATATTAAAAATACACAAATTTAATCCAAACTAACCCTAAGAAAGGTGGACTCGGTGAGAGTGGTCTTGACAAATATTCAGGGTGAAACTGCACAGCGACGTAGTAGGGGTGAGAGTCAACCACTGCGACCTCCATACGTGTCTTGGTCTCGTCTTTACCAACAAACCGAAGTCCAGCCGCTTCGAGCCTCTCTATATACTCGGGATTCACTTCGTAGCGATGTCTGTGGCGTTCCTCTATTACTTCTTTGTTATACAATCGTGCTAAATTTGAGAAAAATTTATCGTTAATTTTGTAACATAAATAAATAAAAATATTTTTAGTACGCATATTTGTAATAAGCATTTTTTAATAGTCATATTTTATGAATCTGCCACCTAGTTCGGAATTCAATATAGGCTGAGAAGAACGGACAAGAAACTCAGCTGTTGTTTTTTTTTAAATAGAAGTTGAGTTTACAATAAGAACGTGAACGAGTTAAAATATTATTATCAATCATAGTATTCTTGAACAGACCAGTTTTTACTAGGAATACCCGTTCACAAATATGACGGATGAACCAGCCATCGTTGTGTTCAATCATATATATGTAGGTAGCCCAACGTCCCGGCCGACACACAACGCCTCTACCAATCTGGACATTATAGTGAGCATGACTTGTTTCAAGATACACAATTACGTGTATTACTATTACACACATTATATTAGTTAATTTAATGTCCAAAATGATCACGAAACTAGTCGAGTATCCTCAACTAAATTACACGAAGTCGTTATGATTAAGTTACAATAAAATATTGCAGGTATATTTTTTTTAACTCGAAACTTTTTTAGTAATCAATTTTAATCTTAAGCGTTGTTGACACATATGTTTAAATACACTATCGGGTCTTAAAATATTTGCAGGTAATATAAGATGCAATCCGGATCGAAACCTCGGCAATTACTTGCAAATTTTTTCATCGCGCTAAGTTTCAATAGTGGAATTAAAAACCTTATCAATAATTTACAAGTAACGTGGATATCACAGTATGACCATCTTACCTATTTTTGCTGTAAAATAGTAATACAAATATCGTTTTTTTTTGTTGGAATTCTACAAATTGAGTATTAGAATTCCAGGAATCTTAATGTCATTGGGGTTTTTCAATAAGAAGAAAGTTCAGGCTTTGACTCGAACAAAAATTGGGCCTTGTAAATTTTGTAATAATTTTTCTGAAGTTTGGTACAATCTGTTACTGAACTAAATAAAAAAGGAAAAGTCGATTTTTAAATGACCCTATCCATGATTATAACCGATGCTCTTTTGTATTGCGATAATAAAAACCAAAAACAGTAGTTGAATAGTAAAAAATAATCAATACAATAGACAATAAACCGAAAAATTCTAACAATGTAAGGAGATTTTATAATCCATAATATTGTTTTCATTGCTTTGTCGTCATTACATTAAAAACTACTGGGAACTGTAGCTAAACAAACCCACTTAATATAAATGTCGCCTATCATCAAACATTGTTTATAATAATGAATAAGACCATTAATACTGTGCTTGTGAATGGTATACACTTCCACGTAATCTAACAAGAAGGTTGTTTTGCGATTGTTTTATTTATACTAAAAAAAATATCTCAAATATTTTACATTTGTATTTGATATTGTATTTTTATGCAACTTAGTAAACAAGCTGAAAGCCCACGTGATGGAAAGTAGTAACTGTCGCCTATAGACATAACAGAGTCTCGCCTTTCTAAAAACCAAGGTGTTATGACTCTGTATCCTGTAATTTCAATACGGTATCCCACCCTTTAAAGTGAAACATAGCCATGCAAAGACAATTGCTTTACAGCAGACGCACGAATTCATAATGTTCATATACTTACTGATAACACTTTGTTCTAAGTACGTTTTCCTTTTACCCAGCCGCATGGTACCACCTAGTTTGCCGGTATGATGTTCAGGCATATCTATCACCAGTTTGTCTTCACATTCTGGGTTAACTTCTGTTGTGTTAGCGCCCTTTAGACCCAGTACATTCCTAGCAAATTCTATTACAGCAGCTTGTAAACCTAAGCATATTCCAAGCATGGGTTTCTGGGTTTCACGGCACCATTGGCAAGCTTCGATTTTACCCTCCATTCCTCTTTGACCAAATCCACCAGGAACTATGACGCCACTACAAAGCGCGAAAAATTTGTTTCAAAAGTTACAATGAATAAAATCATGTTTCTTTACTACTAAAATAAAGAAATAAATAAGTCAAATAAAAAAAAAGTGGTCTTGGACAATATATATATATATATATATATATATATATATATATATATATATATATATATATATATATATATTGTTTTAAAACAAAAAAGCCAATCACTGTTTTATTATGATTAGTATAGTAATTTATATATTCATAGAGCTGTTCATATCTACAGGATATGGTTATTAAGTGGAAAGTCAGTTTGTTTGTCATTCTAAGTCTTTGTTTGTTATTTATTCATACAAACTTGTCAATTAAAGGTACTTTAATTTGCCCTTCTTTCGGTGTGTCACCTATTAAAGGTAAAAAGGTAGAAAATAATAACAATTCTTACTCGCTCTTGCAGAGATCCTGCCATGCCTTATGGTAGTTAACTGGGTCGTCGATTTTCATTTGCTTCTCTAAATTGACTGCTTCAATATATGTGAGATTCAGCTTACATCCCGAGGCGATACATGCGTGTTGTAGTGCCTTAGTTACACTGGCGTAGCTATCCTCCAGTTTTGTGTACTTTCCTACTAACGCTATGTTGACTTCTTTGCGTAAATTATCGACACGCTTTGCGAGATTCCTCCATTTTTGCATAAATCTGATTTATAATAAAAAATAAATAAACTTTATTATGAAGAAAAAACACATATGTATGTGTATATTCCCGATAAGGAAAAAAGGTTCTTGAGTGGCAATTCCGTACGGGCAAACACAGTGTAGGACGACCTCCCGCTAGATTAAGTGACGACCTCAAATGCATTGCAGGGAGTCAGTGGATGCAGGTGGCTCAGGATCATTACTTATTGCAACTTATAGAACTATGTCCAGCAGTGAACAGATAATGACTGAAATAATGATGATATGTATATGGCAACCATATTTTTTATATACTTAAAAAGTAAATACTAAAATGTCACTATAAAATTATGATGTCACTAAGCAAAAATATATATGTATATATACATATATAAATTCTAGTCAAAATCTAATCGATAATAGTGCAAAAACAACTATATTGGAGAGATAGTACTTCATCAATCATGTTTGTTAAAACGCCTACCTATCGTCCAATTTAAACTCATTACTTGAATAACAATAAATTTGCCTATTATGAATATTTAGTAGGCATTTGCAAGTGACAAAAGAATAAATTGATTAGCATTCTTAGAATGTATGTGTAGTTTCATATTACTGGTTTCGGATTTCAATTATAATTTAATAAAGCGCATTAGTAGCATTTGCGATGAGTGGATAAAAAATAACACGTACGAACTGTTACAACGTGGTTTATTATTATATTAGCTTTATTATATTAGCTATGTTTATTAAATCAAGCCATAGAAGGACTGTCGTACATAAAATTCAATAGAAGCGGCCTTTGTGTGCGTTACAAATTGTAAAGAAACCTTTTAATATAATATACTTGTCAATTCACATTATCTGTTCTCGGACACTGATTTCTTTAAGACTAGCTATTGCCCGCGGCTTCGTTCGCGTGGTATTATATTTCTCCTTTAAGTTGATTTTTTTTGTAATAGATGTTTACGTTACACAAGAAAGCTATATTCCAAATTTCAACTTTCTAGACTTTGTAGTTTTTGGTTGTAAGTTTATAGCATAAATATTTATAGTTAATAAATCAGTCACGATAAACGATTTTATACGTTAAATATTTAATCTGTATGTATTTAATAAGTAAGTGTAAGAAATACTTGAAACAAGAATCACAAGGACAAGAAATAGGACCTGCGCAGACTATGGAAATTTTGTACCCGCATCCAATTTCCCTTTGTGTAATCTAGGTATTTTATAGCATAACACGTGTTGGGGAGGGGGGAAGGGATTGTTAATAATGCAGACTACCAGCCCCATTACTAGTAATATGCCCAACCATGTCGACCTCCACGTGGTCCCCCCTGGAAACCATTATGGTTACATCTTGTGGAATGCATCACGATGGGCTAACTGGCCTGCCTTTTCATTCTCGTGAATCAGTACACCTAGTAATACCCAAACTATCACCTTATTCCAGCAAAACGCACGGGCAGTATTGTACTTTATTACCAGCAAAGTTATAACAGTAACTCACCTGCCTGGTCGAGGCATAGATATGTTCAACTGAAGCCTTTCATTCAGGTATTGTACAACACCTTGATTTTCCATTAACAATGGAACATGATACACCGAACTCAAATCATGTATACAAATTACCTGAAATTAAAATATATTGTTACTCATTACATCACTCTCCTGTCCTTTCCAATCTTAAACTTACTTAAACTTATATATATATAATATGTCTGTTGTATTTAAAAATTATAAAACATATTGTTGTATTTGTATAATTATTATTTTTTATCAGCTAAATTATAATTCAGTATATATTTTCATAATACTGGTCTTATTTAATATCATAACAATGTTTCATTGACTAATTGTACTGTATTTATAACTATGTAATTCAAGGCAAGCCATTGATCATATTTTAATCATATTATTTGTAATGGTAAAATTTCAAGAACAAATAATACATAAAATATCTGACAATTCGGCTCCTATATAGATGTATAAATTAGAAGTTATAAATGCTGACGCAGTAAGGGTATAGTGATGAAATAAGCTTCTGATATAAAAATAGAGGCGTTTGATATGTAGTACAGTTAGCTTAGTCCTAAACAAGATAGCATGAAGATATATAGATATATATTATAAATAAACCTACCTGTTCAGGGCCCACATGGCAGAAATTGGATATTTTCTCCTTAACTGTATGATCGATAGGTTTCTCAGATCGACAGAGTATTAAATCGGGCGATAAACCTAAACCGCGTAACTCGCGGACCGATGACTGTGTCGGTTTAGTTTTGGGTTCACCTGTAGATTTTGGCTAAAAGAATAATATAAATAACATTAGTAAAAAATACCTAAACAAATTGCTGCTAAAGTATTTATCAGCAGTATATTTTATTATTTCCCAAATAATTAAAGATTATGATTGTATTGTTTGCTGAATATTATTAATTATAAATAACAATAATTTTGATATCTAATAACTACTTTTGTTTTATGTCACTTGAAATGGGAAATAAGCTGATGACCTACCTGCTGTTAAAATGTTAGCAATTATCTATAAATATAACAGAACCATGGACATAATCAACTATAGTCTTTCCTACTTAGCATAATCATAATAGTTGTATAAATAATAATATTCAAGGAACAGCTTTTTGCCCACTACTTTCTATGCTTTGATTTCAGAATTAAGATAACCAATGAAGTAGAACCCTCTAAATAGTGTATCGAGATAAAATAGATATACATCCAATTGAATGCAGTTATTTTTGCATGATATCGAAACAAACTTACAGAGAGACAGACAAAATTTCCAAAAAGATTGTTTTGGTATCTATTGCTTTTATTAAAATCCATTATATAAATTTTTCTCAAACATCTCCCATGTGCAGACATTGTCTAATTAATATTTTATTATATTAATAAGATACACAACAAAATCACTAACCATTGGCACTAAAGAAACATGTGCACAGCAGAAATTTTCTCTTTTAACTCTAAACTGGAACTGTCTGAATGCCTCTACAAATGACATGCCCTCTATGTCCCCAATAGTGCCACCAAGTTCCACTATGCACACCTTAGGGGGGGTGTTTTCAGGTGTAACAGGAATGTGAGCAACTCGCTGCACCCACTCCTGTATAGAATCTGTTATGTGAGGAATAACTGAAAGAGAATTTAAATATATTTAATGCTATACAGATATATTAACATAATTTATTGTCAGTTACATAGAGAAATATTTCTCAGGTATATACAGTAGTATCTGCATTATCCAAGTCCATACAATCCAAAATCCGGATAATCAATTTCAAAGACAAATCAAACAATAATTAAATTTTAATATTTTCTATTATGTTTTACATACTTCATTTAGAGGATATAAAAAAAATATTATAAGCTAGAAAAATAATGGATTACATAATACCATTTATAAATCTGTAATTAAAGCTGTGAAGAATAAGTGTAGATAATCAAATATTTCGATAATTGAAATTCAACTGTAGGTAGGTATTTAAGATTAATTTCTGGGGTGGAAAGGAGAAGACTTGGCCCTTTAAAAAGGAGACATGTACTGAATCATTGGATAACTTCTATTAATATTTTGGTTCTCCATAACTCCTCTAAAGAATAAATTTTTAAAATCATTTTCTTAATAGTTTTCAATTATTCATCTTTATCATAACCATGGAAGTAAGATTACTTAAGTATGTAATCAAATAATTAACAAAATCCATTTAAAATTAGACAAAGACATGGATGCAAAAGTATGAATGGAATTGGAACTCTTAAATTATATAAACCTTCATACCATTATGTTCTTTATGATATTAAACCATAGGTCATTTTATGTACAAGTGTTGCTTTTTTATGTGAACCTGATGAATTTGGTAACCATTGTCAATAGACTACAAAATAATAATAATGTATTAATGCATACAACATGACTTTGATGATCTAGAATTCCAAATCTAATCAAAATCTAATTAATAAATTAAATATGTATTACTATAGAATAATTACATATCTAGATTTAATTCAATTTAGCTTAAGACTTAAAAAGTCTTGTAACAAATCAACTTTCTCTTACTGATCCACATTATTTATTCAGGTATGTAGTACCTGAATTATAATGTGTGTTAGTGTGGATCATTACTTTACATATATAAATATAATTGTAAAATATATGGGTTTCAACTACATAGCTAGTGATTTTGTCCTTGTGAATGTGTTTTTTTAAGGTGAAAATGAAATAATGAGCACCTGTGCTATTGGTAGGCACTGGAGAGCCACCAGTGAGGGATGATAGGATAAAGCAAGTTAAGTATCGATTGTGACACATTATTAACTAATCAGGTTTAAAACTAAAAGATTTCAATCACCAACTTTAACATATGACATTTATTCATATGTTGCCTTGTTTCCGAGACACTGTAACCTGAATAAAAATATTCTAATACACAGAAATATTTAGGGTGCTTTGACTTAAAAGGCACGAAAAAATTACATATGACCAAAGTTGATCATCTTACTAATGAACTCATAAAAATAAAGTTATTGCGACATTGAAAAATAATATAAATTTGTACACCTTTAAAGGCGTTCATAACCTAAATATTTAGGGTTCTATTAATTAATGTTCTTATTTATCTATTTATTTAGTTCTATTTTAAATCAAATAAATGGTGTACTTGCCTTGCACTGTTTTGCCAAGATAGTCCCCACGCCTCTCTCGTTCAATAACTTGCTGATATATTTTGCCCGTCGTAATATTGTTGTCTCTATGTAGAGTGATGTCCAGGAAGCGCTCATAATTGCCAAGATCAAGGTCGACTTCGCCTCCGTCGTCTAAAACGTAAACTTCACCTAGAAAATAAAAATAGACTGTATCACGCCACCACGTAGTATAACCAACACAATTAAAAAATATTAATGAATGATAAATTTATCTTACCATGTTCGTAAGGAGAGAAAGTACCAGCGTCAATATTTATATACGGATCAATTTTTATTGAAGTCACATCGATGCCACAACTCTTTAAAATCGTGCCAAAAGAACTGGCAATCACGCCTTTTCCGATACCGCTTATAACTCCACCAGTAACTAATATATATTTCATGTCAGGCATTTTAAATAAGGAAAACGAATTTTCCACTTACAATAAATTTAATATATTAATTTAAAACAGACGTTATAATTTATTTTTTTTCTAAGCACGCACAATATATAACCAAGTACAAAAAACACGTTCTAAACTACAAAAATGCGCGATGCGCGTGTTAAGTCGATCGCAGCATTTGCTGACTTTGATAAAATGACAGATTACATAGAAGAAATAATAAAATAAAGACTGTAAATCATTATGGTTGTCTCCTTTCTTCTTATGTAAATATAATTAATAAAAAGAGGACGAAAGATACAACATCAGTTGTTATTTTTGCCAATTCATAGCAGGCTAGTGTATAGAAAACTAAGAACAAGGAATTACATAGAAGGAATGATAAAATAAAAACTGTAAATCATTACTTCCTTTCTTCTTATGTAAATATAATTAGTAAAAAGAAGACAAAAGATACACCATCAGTTGCTATTTTTTTTTATTCATAGTGGGCTAGCGTATAGAAAATGTTTGATATGTCAATTATTTGTCAATGACAAATTTTACATTATTAGATTCTATATTTGACACAGTTTATGTAGAAACTATGCGAGCAGGTTGTATCTAAATTTGGTAGAGTTATATGGTCGTATAACATTTTCTATATACTAGCCTACTATGAATTGAAAATTTTATCACTCCTATGTAATTCCTTGTTCTGAGTTATACGGCGTATAACATTTTCTATATGCTAACCTGCTCTGAATTGGGGGGAGAAGGGATTGTTAGTAATGCGGACTATCAGTCCCATTACTAGCAATATATCCGCTCAGGTTGACCTCCACGCAGTTCCCCCTGAAAACCATTATGATTAAATCTTGTGGAATTCATCATGGTGGGCCAACTGACCTGTATCACTTTCATCTATCATCTTCCACTGGTGCCTCGTCGGTGTATACCGATAGCGCGGGCGGAGTTACCATTCCGTTTTCACCCATTAAAAAAAACCTCCACGTGGTCCCCTCTGGAAACTTGTTAAATTCCAGGTGTATTTATTACGATGGGCTAACTGACCTGCCCTTTCATCTTTATTTATCACCTCTAACTGGTGCCCCGCCAGCATGTACCATTAGCGAAGACGGGATTGCCATTCTATTATAATCTATTGGAGAAAACCTGCTATGAATTGACAAAAAAAAAAACTGATGGTGTATCTTTCGTCCTCTTTTTGCTAATTATATTTGCATAAGAAGAAAGAAGGCTATTACATAATTTACAGTTTTTATTTTATAATTCTTTTAATGGAATTCCTTGTTCTTAGGTATTACCTAACTAAGTTATAAAAACTCTGTACATTGACATTTATGTTTGATTTGACGTTTGAAATTCATTGACATTATACTTCTTACTACTATCTTAACGCTAATATTATTTTGACAATTTCAATCTGGCGAGTTTTAACATAACTTTAGAACATTCGTGAAACTTACATTATGCCTAAATATTATTGTGATTATTGTGATACATATTTAACTCACGATTCACCAAGCGTGAGAAAAACTCATTGTACAGGAAGGAAGCATAAAGACAACGTGAAGTTTTACTATCAAAAATGGATGGAGGAGCAAGCTCAGCATCTCATTGATGCTACCACAGCTGCTTTTAAAGCAGGGAAAATTGCACAGAATCCATTTGGCAACAAAGGAGCTACTATACCACCACCTTGGGATCCATCGGTGATGGGTCCTGGTGGCCCTAGACCACCGGTACCGGCGCCGGGTGGACCCCCAGGGATGTTACCTTCGCCAGCGATGGGACCCGGAGGACCTATGGCTCCACCCATGATGATGGGTCCACATGGTCCAATGCCGCCTATGATGGGAATGAGACCTCCCATGATGGGACCACTAATGGGACCAATGGGTCCCATGGGTCCAATGGGACAAATGCGACCTCCGTTAATGAATGGACCCCCCATGAACAAATAGTGACAGTAATTTGACATTTTAAATGACTGAATAGTGTTAATTCAGTGGACTTTTCATATTATTTGCTACATTACTCTTGAATATTTAAGATTGTATAGTAACAAGATGAAGATGAATTAAGTTTTGTTGTATAATTAAATAAAAAGGTCACTTTAAGGTGGTTACGTTAAATAGTGGAAATGTGAAAAGGTGGTGTAAAAAGGGAAGTTTAGGGTTTAGAGTTCCAGACCCTAAACTTATTTTTGTAAGAACAATTTCAATTTGACCTCAGTTCATTCCTCTTCATTCTATCATAAGTCATTGTCAATGAAGGTGCAGAAAACTTGATGTTGAGCTAAGGTTTTCTCTTTCTTTTACTTTACAAATGCATACTCGTATCTATGTAGTTAAAATCCTCAGATTTTTGTTTTATACAGACAATGGTGTATTATTGAATTCCAGAGTAAACTTAAGCATTATTTCTCAAACTTAAGAATTATTTAAAATTTGAGCAGTTTACAAAGAACATAATACTTTTGTGTTGAAATTATTTCTGTAGATTACTATGTTTAGTATATGTTCTTGGTAATGTAGCATCTATATAAGATCTAGAATAATAATAATTTAATCTAAGAATATAATTTGTCAGATTTTATATCAGTCTTTTATTGTGTCCTCTTTATTTTTTCCAAAGAGTTTTTGTACTGAGACCTAGTAATTAGAGGTGGCGAAAGACCAAGTAAAAAATGCTTCCCTTATCTACAAATTTTTGTTCACATTACTAGGAACATTTTTGTTACTTGCATGCACTAATGGAAACTTATGTGTCACTATTTAGTCTAAATTTGGAATACTCAGTGTATGTCTATTTCTTTTAATGATTTAAATAATAATCCCCTTTGCTATTGGTGCTACTGGTAGGTTATTATTGAGTGACAAATGGGAAAAGTTAAATCAGTTGATTTCTCATAACAAATTTATTAGGAATTAACTATGATGGTTTTAAGAAGGGACAATGTAGTAGAAGATCAGATAGGGTATATTGATAGAACAAGCTGTATCAATATCATTCTTTTATCAGTTGTTAAATGTCATCTGCTAGACATAGACCTCCCCTATAACTGTCACAAGGAACGTACCAAAGCCACCTGCATCTACTAACTCACAAAAATGTATTTGCCACTCCATTTAGTGGGGAATCGTCTTACACTGCATTTGTTTGTATGGGATCGTCAATCAAGTGAATTTCTTACTCATCGGTTGTCAATTCTTTGACCTATGTTTCTAGCCCACTATTATTAGCGAGTATCATGGGCTGTATTTGTTACCTAATTGATCTAGGTACTCGCATATCCATGCGGCGGGTCGCTAGTTACATGTGATTGATACGAGTGATTACAATTAACACCATTACAAAATTCTAAAAATAGTCAAGAGCAATTTATTATATATATATTATTTTTTTGTCCAAATTAGATTTACTAAAAAAATATACATTTAATATAATATTCATTGTATATTTTTTCACTACCTTAATTTTTAATGGGATAGTTAAAGCCGTTTGCCGTTATGGTAAACTAACAAATGTTTTTGTAAATATGAGAACTATTATACTGATAAAAAATTACTGCTCATCATTGGTGTATTTAAGATAATTCGTCAGGGGTAGATTATTTGCCTGGCTTCTTAAAAACATATAATATGTACTTTTAGATATCTTTTCAAAGAACTGAAAGCTCCGCTCGTATCCCGAGGTGGGTATCAGTCAATTCAGGGATGGGCACAGGTCATCCGGACCCACTTAAATACGCCTATGCAACTTATCCTTCTACGCGTTGTTTCAAGAAGCTGATAGTTCTAAATGCGAAGCTTGCCTTGAAGCGCCTGGTAGCGCTGCGGATGAATCATCACGATTTGCAAACATTGTCATTACGAGGTCAGCAAGTATTATTAATAAAATAATCATTGGAAGCACACCATTCAAAACAAGAGCAGCATGTTTGCTTGTCACTGCTATATCCTTAAGTTCTCTGAATACAGAAATCGACAGTGATGAATGCAGTACAGAACATACTATTAGTGCGTATGACTGAAGGAAACAAGAAGCACGCTGATGTCGGATGTAACCAATTACAAAAATACCAAGGAACAGATAGGTTGTGAATATAGCCATAGGGGATATAAGAACATGAGATATTCCTAGAGTTGGTGTCGTCCTCTCGTTAATTAAGTCGGCAGTATTTACAACCAAGGTCAAGATTTTGAGCTTTACTGAACAACTTTCGGAGCTCATCGATGTGTCCCCACTATACTTCATGGTTCAGCTTCAGTGTGATGTAGAATCTTGTAATCATTGTTTTGTAAATATTACATGCTTTAATATAATTAGTAAATATATTTATTCACAGGTGACACTTTGTAAACAGAAACGCTAGTAAACTACGTACGTAGGTATGACATTTTAAAAGCAAAAAGTTTTTAGGATCTGTTTTAAGTCCTTTAAGTACCTACGTAGTTCAATATGAATAATACTTTCCTGTGCCGTAATTACTGAGTGTATAATTTTATACTTACAATATTTTACACAGATATTTTAATTAAAACTATCTAGTAGACATATCTGGGGGAAAGGGATCGTTGGTAATGAGATCTAATAGCCTCATTACTAGTAATATACCCTCCCAGGTCGAATTCCACGCGGTTCCCTCTGAATACCATCATGGTTAATTCTTTTCGAATTCATCATGGTGGGGGGCCAATTGGCCTGCATTCATTCTCACCTATCCTCTTCCACTGGTGTTCTGTCGATTTATACCGATAGGTATACACCGATGGGGGTTACCATTCCACTTTCATCCATTAAATAAAAAGTAGACATACCTACATAGAAATCGTTATCAATTCATCATAAATAATACCTTCTGTTCTAGTATGATTAGGCGTTTAAAATAAATAAAACAATAATATTTAACACATTTAATTAAAATTGTATTCCGAATAACTTAAAAACTTTGAAAAAGTTTAAAACACTACTTACATAGTAGGTACATACTCAATAAATACTTATTTACTATTTTAACCAGTTGTACAGTATTAGATAAAACAAAATTGGCCCCATCAGAGCTTAAATGAATATTTATTTGAGCTGGATGTCCTTAACCTCATTAATTTAAGTAGTATAAGACTGGCAGCTATAAAATGCAGTATGTGCTCTCAAAAACGGCACTTCAAGCTAGAAGAGACTAGATTAAAGCTTCTATTCACACCGTCGCCTTATTTACACACAAAAAGAAAAAAGAGCACCGCTTTAATGCAGCATATTTAACAAATTATCATAATGCTGTTTCCAATGTCGTCGGTGAGATTTTGCCTCTTTCCGGAGAGGCCTTACTTCGTGAAGACGGACCAGCCGTTGAAATCTTAAACGATGTAAATTTAGGAGGTGACGAATCAGGAGAAGTGTTGAAGAATTCAGCTCGCTTTGCTTGCATTATTTCCGATCTTGATAGACTATGAGATTTTGCAAAATCGGTGCTAAGAGGAAATACTCCGTGGTCAATAGATCCCGAAAAATCGTTTTCAGTTTCAAAGTTATTTTCATTTATTGGTATTAGATTTCTTCGCGCTCCGAAGTGTTGGTTTGTAACAATAGGAACTGTTTTACATGGTGGGTTGTTTGGAGACCTATCGTGTTTCTCACCGGAACTGTTAGAATTTTCGTCTTCATTATTCGCTTCTGGTATTGGCGTAGATAAAACATCCGACCGGGGACTTGAAAATCGCCACTGTGATTTAGGTGAAAGTAAGATTTTAGGAGTATTTTTATGTTCCTTTATTAACGCACTAGTTCTACCAGGCGATGCGGGCTGGGGATTAGCTTTTATAACTTTTCTATGAGTATAAGTCTTCGGTGAACCGCTGAGGTCAAGTATATTCATTTGAGTTCTATTTGTAGTTGGTGTTAATGGTATTTGAGCTTTTTCTTTTGAAAGTTTGAGTTGTTCAACTGCAGACAATTTATTTACCTTGTTTTGTGGATGCATAGTGTTTAGTTTAACACTGTGTTGTAGAAGTAATTTCTTAAAATCAAGTCTTGATGTTTGTGGTACTGGACCAAACCTATCAGCGCATGATGTTGTTTCTGGTTTTGAAAAACCGGAACTGGGATATAGCAGCACTTGCTGTTTATCAGCTGGTGACCAACTCATTCTATTTCGTGGATCTCCTAAATAACCTGTCTCTGGATGACGTTGAGTACCTTTAGTATATAACGATGTTTCTGAATTTACAGGGGATAAACTTACTGTAGACAAAGCTGGTGATTCTGATCTTTCTACATGATCTTTTATATTAAGTTTTTTCTTACTTTTATGTATAACAGCATAAAGTTCTTCATTTGTCATTGTTGACTTTACGGGTGATAGTAACTTGGCGCCGAGGTCAACGACATTTTCCTTATTGGATGGTGTGGAAGATTTGAAAGAGCCTGATGTTCGAGGATCAATAGGCGAAATTCTAATAGATTCGTCGTTCACACTTGGTGGATGTGGTATCCCCAGTTGTCCGTGCGTTAAAGTTCTGGTATCTGGTTTTGTTGTATTAAAGACTGATTTTCTCTGTTCTGGTGTCATTGGACGCGGAGCATTTAATTCCATGGTGCTTCTTTTCGGAAGTGTCCAGAATTTTAGTTGTTCCTTTGTTACATTTGATTGATTGTTATTATAGTTGATTATACCGTGTCTTCCACGTAAATGGGCAGTATTATATCGGTGTTGGGTCGGGATGAGTGTGTTTAGGTTGATTGCAGTAACTTTGTCTTGAGGTGTATTTTGCGGCATATTCAAATAGGGTTTGTCAGCACAGGAATGTCGATAGTCTGAAATTATAATATTTTATAAAATTATTACTGTTAAATATAAATTTAGGTTCTACAACTCAACTTTCGCAATTCTTTACATTTAATTTTATTTTATAGTTTATGACTATGAGATATCACTTTAAATATTATGCAAATATACTGCGTATACAAGACTTTTAGATTGAATTGTTCAGTAAAAATATGCATACAAAATTTCTTATTGACAGACATACGCAATGTAACTTTATAAATACATTTTTACATGCTAAATACCTTCAAAATTTGCAGGGTATAGTTTTTGCGATTATATAAGCAATAAAAAATATTGCCTTGTTTATATTATTATATAATATACTAAAAAATATATTTAAAAACTATATTCACCGTGCGAAAATTGTTAAGGTATCAATTTTACTTAACTAAATTTCATACAAATATGGCACCAATCCCACAATTATCTAGTATATTATGAAAAATATCAAACTATAATATATGCAGGTATTTGTATTGTTAACATACTTTATAATAACAACAAGAGAAATATGGGCACGGATAATAGGATTTATTACAAAAGCGACAATATATTCGTATTTCTCCACTTAAATAAGCTTTCAAACTCTAGTAAGTACAGTATTTGAATATAACACGCATTTATTTTAATAGCTGTGTGCAACTACAAGTGCATTATAACAAAAGTGCATGGCATTTTATTCATCTCAAAAATAGTAAACCCCCACGATGTATTTATGGTGAATATCTATATAATTAAATTGTTAGTTTGGTATCCTATGAATTAATATGTATGTTTTACAACGTATGTAGAGTTAAAAAATATGATTTAAAAATATGTTTATTTATAATGATTAAAATTCCAGTCCATTTTTAAATCTCATGCAGTATTCGAAAGATAATTATTTCAAATAATTTTTAAGAAGCACCGATGTAAGCAAATCTCTGATTCGAAGAGTCGATATATTATATATACAATAGTAAGCATGAATTGATCTACATAACCACAACCTTATATCATGCTTAATAAAAAGCAACACAAAACTTTACCTTTGAAGAAGTTGACGTTAACATAGTCGCGACATATCGAAGCGATCTCCTGCACTGTGCAAAGCTATGTGAGGTTTGTGCAATAAAAGAACTGTATACCACTGAATTTACAACATAATTTTAAATGCCTAATTAAGTAGCTTTTATTTAAATAGTATTCTCTTCAAGTTAATAAAAAATTAGTCGTATTAAGATTATATTAGTTTAATGGTTATGTTTTTTCGAATCTAAAGTGAAATTAGACATGTGAATTTTATTTACATTTCTCTGTGAAATTTGGTCAAATTTTGGTTTTTTGTAAGAATATAAATTCTGTTCTACAATATAGACAATGAGAAAATATTAGAAATAGACAAAGGATACAAAACTATATCGTAGAATAGAATTTTATTCTAAAGGCTAGGTGCATTGTGCATAATGAGAAGTGAGGATGAAAACTGAAGGAGTGAAATTAAATGAAAAGTGCGTTAATTTACAATAAATGTATAATAGGTAATATTATTTACAAAACACGTAAACATACGAATAACACACCATGCACTTACAAACAAAGATTGTGATCCACTCGTAAGCTGTGCACACTTCTGCGGTGAGAAAGCCACCATGCATTCATAGTTTACAAACAATATTAAGAATTACATTAATTATATTATAATTCATATAAAAATATTGAATAAATGTAATCATGAAACCACAATTTAATATTTTTTTAATGTTATTAAAATTATTACTACAATAATCTATCACAGAAGTGTATATAAAAAGGAAGACGAGTTAAGGTACAATTTCTTACTGGACGGATTTAAATCCATTTCATATCTTAACATTTGGAACGCTCTAATACTAGTTAAGATCAATGTTAAGTGTTTATTAGATTTATAAATTATTAATACCTGTTACAGGTACACATTAGGTATATTTTTATTCTAATGTAATTCATTCTTACATTTATACTAAAATATTTATCTACCTATGATTGTGTATTACCATATTTCTGTTCCATAATCAGATTCGGTAATGGACAAAATTCTTGCTTTATGCATAGAACCGTCAAATGGTACAATAACCTTACTAGGGGTGAGGGGAAAAGACGGTGACGATCGAAGAATGACATCATCCTCAGGATCAGAGTCCAAAACAGCTGTCAACGTATCAAGAGACGGGTCCTTTATATGTGGAATAAACGCAACGGAGTGCCTGTTTGGTAATGGTGTAACGAAAGGACTTAATGATAAGGCAGATAATTCTGCTTCAAATTTATCGCTCATAGGAGAACCGTTATTGTTCATACACTCACATTTTTCTATTTGTTTTATAACATTTTTGTGAGTCAATTTAGGAGATACTGTGGGAGGATAATTAATTTGTTCTCGTAATAAATCAGCTGTAATTTCAGCCTGGATCATTTCTAATGAATTAACTTTTTTAGTGTGACTGCTGAATGTTTCAAGTTTAAGTAACTTTTTTATAGGCATTAAAGGTGAATTAGCTAATTTGTAACTATCGCTACGTTTTACTTTATTGATAAAAGTTTTATTAACAGAGTCATTATGATTATCATGTTCATTTATGATGCTGGTATTTGTATCATTATAAATTTTGTTTGTAAACATTCTTAAAACTTCAGCAACTTTATTGCCTGACTTGTTAAATGATGAAGTATGTTGACATCTATTTTGTAACATAATAGGTGTTTGGAAATTAGGTACAAATGGAGTTATATCTTCATTTGTTTCGGGAGATTGGTCCATATTTTGTACAGATCGAATAAGAAGGTTTCTCGTGACAGTTTTTGAGGATATATGATTCTTACCTGCTAAATCGTCTTTCGTCGGTGATAAGCTGACACCCTCTGCATCGTGTATATTTACATACGCTCCAGTTCTGGTAATAGCTTCTACCACTCGCGGTAAATCACGATCATTTCTTACAGATGGTTGGCTTGTTAATGCTGTTATTTCAGTAAATGGTGTTGCTGTTATTATTGTACTAGGTTTGGGCGGTGGTAAAGGTACAAATTCTGTAGTAACAGGACCATCTGGTTCTATTGGTGCTTTAATTATCATTTTTCCTAGTTGTGGTGATGTAGGTTTGCTAGATGCTAGTGGAGGTTCATAAGGGAAATCAGTCTCATCAGTAACTTTCACTACATCAGCTGTTTCTCGTTGGACAATGGTCGTAGTTGGGCAAACTTCTTGAACGAACGGGCCTGGTTCAAATGTTGTATGGGCCCCTTTTCGTCTTTTTAATGTATCTGATGAATAAATAACTTGCCCTTGAGAGTCTAGCGTAACTTTGGCACCCTTTCTTTGTATCTCCTCTATCACTGGTGAAGGTTTTTCTTCTAAAGTATTCTCTAGGAAATCTTTACTGCCACTTAAGCAATTGGGAAGTTCGTTTAAAGACACATACTCGGTCTCCGGTCGTCCTGATAGAACCGCTTGTAAATTTTTCCTAACAATGTCATTATTACCATATACACTTCTATTAAGGCTCATTTTTTGATTATTATTTCTAACATCTGCTATGGTAACATAGTCACCAGCGTCATAGATATCGTCATTAATACACGGATCTTTTGTAGTGGGAGATTTTTTATTTGATAGTTTATGGGGAAGAACACCTTTTAATTTACACATTAAATTATTTAATGGTTGTAATGACGACTTTAGATTAATTTGAGTATGAACTTTATTTGTTTTTGTTGTTTCATTTGAATTCTTTATTTCTTTAATTTTATCTTCAGATGGTAAGTCCAATTTAGGTCTATTAGAAATTTTCTTAAAGGTGGTGTTTACCTCCTCATTATCTTGTTTTCTAGAAGCGTCTGTATCTTTATTGCTTTCTTCGCTTTCATCATCTGAATTTGTAGGAGTTATTACACAAAGCGATGGAATTCTAGAGCTATTTATTGTAGTTTTGTATCGTATTCTTTCTATTCTATCAGTTCCTTCTAAATCAGATGATTCTGAATAATCTTGTTCTGAAAGACTATTTTTTCCATGTGCGCTTGAAACGGAATCTTCTATAGGTGAACTAGAAGTGTTATGACCAGAGTCCGGCGAACTTGTACCTGTGCTTTTTTTAGTACTTTCTAGTTCTGTTTCAGTATGAACCTCTGCAACTGCAGTTATTTCTCTGTGATTTCCGACATTTCTAGTTATAGTAATAGTTGAATGAGAAACTTCATTAATTTCGGGTGATGAGTGATTATATATTTTTTTATCTGGATATGACTGAACAGAATTAAATTTCAGACTACTGAAAGGTGATTTAGAAAATGTCGAATTCATACTCCTATCTAGACTAGCGTTGGCACTGTGAATGTTGTTACTTCTACTCCGGATCATTTTCGTTAGTGAACTTTTACGTTCGGGGACTGTTGGACCTATTACAAGAGAGCGATCACTCCCAGCTGCCATTAATGCTGTACAAACAGTACCTGCAGAACTAGTAGTCGTACTCGTTGAACCTTTTCCAAATAATTCATATTCATTTTCTGCTGTTAATGTCTGACTATTAGATGAATTAGAAAGAGCATTGCTTGTATGCATTGGAGTACTAGGACATACTTCTTCTTCCTTTAAAGTTTTTAGGCCGGAATCCATATGGAAAGAGGTATAATATCCTTCTGTGTCGCATGAGAATTCGGAACTTGTCTCTAAATCTTCGTGCAAATCGTGAATAATATCTGGTGTAAGTGTACCTTCACTAGTAACACTTCCTGATCCAGAAGTATTCATGAATCGTCGTCGGCTTATGATAGAGCTAGGGGGACCATGATGGAGGTTCAAGGAATTGTTAGAAGTTGCTGCAGAAGTCGTGCTTTTTGGAGGCACCGTTGTTGTTGTTATTTCTGAACCTATGCTTGTTCTACCAGACTCTGAGCTAGCTGACCAGTTACCGCTCGAAGAGTGAGGTTCTTCTTTACCAATGCCAGATCTCTTTAGCCTCCTTTGTACCGATGTCCCTCGCAATTTAACAGTGCTATTAATCGTAGCTGTAGGTGGTATACTGGCTGGAACACCTATGCTTTTTTCAGAAGACGAATATGAAGCACACCTTTGATGCGTTCTTCGGTCTTCATCTCCAGGTCGTTTTTTACGTAAAGTAACAGTTTCTTGTTTTTCATTCTCTTCTTGTCTTGTAGGAGACTTAGAATCCTTACTTCTTTCAACTTTCAAATTATCTTTGAAACTATCTCTACTGGCACTTGGTGATCTACCGATCATTTTTAACCTATTTTTACCCCATTGTTTTAGGGAATTGAAATGTCCTTTTTTAGTTACAGGATCGATAGGACTTTTCTTGAGTAAATCGCTGGACTTCGACCTGATGACTGTGATATCCTCGATCTCTTCAGTAGCAGCAGCATTTGATGTATCGCTAAGATAGAACAAACCAAGCAAAGCATTAGTCACACGCTAAAGGCATTTCTATGTTTGAAAAATCTTTAAACAATGCCGTTTAGTCTTGTAACAGCGGCGTTGTTCAAAGAATTAATTAATCATGAAGCTAATGAACAAATGGCACTATTAGTGTTTAAGTGCACAAATAATTGGTTGTTGTTGTAACGTTTTATAAAAACCAGAAAACAACGACAGCCAATGTTAACATAACGTATTCACAGAAGCACAAGATAGTATTTTATAAACGAGTTGTTAAAAATAAATGTGCTACAGATTTTAATGAATTCTTAAAGCTGTCCACACAGATCTGAGCTGAACGGTTACATTGATTAAATCGCTTTAGAGACTAGGTACATTATCTACTTTATGCAAGAACAAAACATTATTTCGGTTAAAAAATGTGAAAAATTCATAGATAATGTAACCTGAATTAATGTGTGAGTGTACAGTGCAGACTAGAAGCTTACCCAGCTATAGCCTCTCTAAGCTCTTTCTGATCAGTGCCAGAAATCGTGTTTCGTCTTTTACCCCGAGGTTTTCTAGTGCGGGTCCTTCGCTTCACAGTGTCCGTTTCTCCGGTGACCTCTATGTGTAGAGATTTACGTGAAGTGCACATTCTGTCGAAAAATTTTCCCGATGTGTCGATCGCAACGACTTCCGGAGGAAATCTGTAAGGTAAATAATATGTGCTTTATTTATTCTAGGGTATAACTTGATATAACGTTCACCATATATACGAGTAGGTTATTAACAAAGCCTCTTTTACATCAAATATGAATTAGTTTTGATTGAGCTGTTTTTAATTGATATTTTTTAATCAGAATATTGTTTGTATCTTGGTATATTGGTAGGTTAAAAATGATTTTAGAATATAGTTCTATTATATCTATTGGTTACATTTATAATGGAATATGTAAAGATAAATTGTATAATAGTTTAATACGTATAATGTAAAATATAGATATTTTTTTAGTTTTACTAAAATGTTTACTGTGGTGTTTACTTGTGGCTTGTAAAAATATTTATTTAATCAACGTCACAATTTTTACCCTATGGCATGCAACTGTTCTTTGAAAGTTCAGCAATGTATAATTTATACATATAGGTCTAGTTGATTCGTTACGTCTCGTCGCCGGATTTTCTTTATAACGGTATATGATATGATGACCAAATAATTGCAAATAAGTAGTATCATTAACTTACTTATTTGAAAATATATTACCTAGGTAGTGTTTCCTTTTCCACAAACAAGGTTGATACTTTGATGAGTTCATATTTATATTTATTATTACATTTATAGAATAAAAGTCCATAAACAAGGATAAAAAAGAAAATAATCTATAGAAGATATTTGTAACACAGTTCAAGCAACAGTGCTGCATCTTGATTCACATTTAGATCTTTTTGAAAAAATATAACTAAGACGTACTTTTATTTGGCTAGGATCTTCTGAAAGGCATAAATGGTACCTAAATAGAGTTTTTAGATTATTATTAATTATGATGAGAAACTGTCATGTTAATCATCAATCTTATATCGGTCTAATCATGATATTCTTTTAAACGAAACTTTCTTTCTTTAGCATTTTGTTTAGAAACATTAAAGACAAAAGTGATAATTGTTGTACATATAGAGATGAGCAGTGATATCATAATATTCTTTATCAAACATAGCCCATCCAAGAATTATGCATTTAGTATATGAAATTGAATTGGCTACAGTATTCAGTCAGATATCAAATACGAGGTGATGAATTTATAAGTTTGCTGGATTACTATAGTGACTACGAGAAAAAATCTACTATTATAACAATTGGAGCTAGTTATGGAGAAAAAGCTATATTACATGGGACGTCCATAAGAGGTTGTTGATTTTTGCAGAACTAGCTTCAATAAGTCTGAACACATTTAAATTACTTACTTGGAGGCGATGACTCTCAATTGTTCCTCGGGGCTGGGCAGCCTGTGGTCTATAGGTTCCTCATCTCCAGAACCACACTCGGACAACTCGTCTGGAGTTAATGTCACGCTGTTGGCTATCCTCATGGAAGCATCTGGTAAAGCTGTCACGTCTCCAATGGCTTCCTTTGATGTCCATTTCCTTAGATGTTCGACTACCGTCGGCTGAAAATATTGTGTTTTATATTTAAATACACAATATTATTATATTAAATCTCTATAGTGTCTAATACTACTCATATAAATAAAAAAAAAAAAAACAAATTAAAAATCTGTGGACGTTTGTTACATAATTTGAAGGAATTTGGATTACGATAGAACTTATTTATTGTTGTGGTACAACAGTCCTGACAAAATTGAGTGTATGAAAGAAAATACTAAACGTAGGTTGATTACAGTCGAAATCCGAGCATTGCGTAGAATTTGCGGAATATTCCACGAATTGAAAAGTTAGAAAATTGCATTAGTTACGTAATGTAGATAAAATCCTCTACATCAATATCTCTGTAAAATATGTAAATACTTACGATATGTGTTTCAATGTCAACGTCAAGCTTGTGATAAATACGGCGTCGTTTGGAACTGAGAATAGGCGTGCATAGCAGATACGGAGAGTACTGAGAATCTCTTCTGAGTTGGTCGAGAATGGAGGCGGAGAGTCGGTCTGTGGTTGCTTTCTCGTAAAGATTGCGCAAACTTGCGGGCCTGAAATTAAATGTATCAAGTAATGAAGTTAGTTAAGAATTTACTTTAGGCATATAAGTCGTAAACACCAAATAAAGTTAGAAAACCTTTTAATAACTATGTAAATAATATAAAGTGTAATGTAGTATCGACGAGTATCTAATAAAATAATAAAAGTAAAACAGGGTAAGTACTTCTGTTTATTACGTTTTCACGAATGGATAGTATAATATCGTAACGTAATCCATGCAACTTTAACACAATTGAAAATTGGAAAATACTGTATTTATATCAAGTTGTTAAAGGTATTATATAGTTTGCCGCTATTATAACTGTGAAGTGTACATCAATAAATCATAGAGTTGTTCTATGACCATAATGTACACTAAGGAGGTCTATATTATTTTGAGTACTACAGAAATCACATATATCCATATAGTAGACAATTCTATTTATCATCCACTACTGAAGATAGCTCTATCTCATATTTAGCCGTAACTCTTACATATTACATAGTTATCTTATAAATTACCTTAAGATTATTAAAGTAGACATGCAAGTTTTATATTTTACACCATGGGTTTAATTATACGTTCTTTCTAGCTTTTAGATTATAGTGTGTAAGCGTAAAATATTCCTTTCTTCTGCTAATTAGATTAGTGTAGATGTTTACCTTGTGTCGGGTGTGAACAGGCCCTTTTTGAGGGGATTGCTCGCCGTGTAGTGGACTTTGCGTACAGCAAAGTCGGACAGGCTCCCCTCCGCTGTAACAAAAATAAATACTTAACTAACAGATTTAACATAGGTGCCTGGGGAGAAAGGGATTGTTAGTTACTACTAACAATTGGGTATAACATCCCTATTGTTAGCTACTACTATCTATATTATATATAAAATCTACTATTGGTCGACCTGATAGGGTATATAATCAGGTCGATCTTTACGCGGTTCCCACTGGAAACCATCGTAGTTAATTCTTCTGGAATTCATCACAGCTGATATAATGATAAAGATGTATCCCCGCATCATATCAGTTGTTAACTGCCCATTGCTGAGCATAGTCCCTTCTCGCAAGGGGATTTTGCTTGTAGTTGCCATGGTTGGCAGGTGACGTGGCAACTGCAGTTAGGCTTTGGTGATGTTTCAAGAGGGACGCTGCTGTCTATTTATTGACCATTAAGATCCTTTAGTCGCCTTTTATAACACCCACGGGAAAGGAAAGGTGCCACACGGCACCATTAGTATAGACAAAAACAATGTAATGCCAAATCTTCTGATTTTAGATCACTTTAGCTTTCTATACATTCATTAACTCATTTATAGTTCAAACAATCCATTAATTTATTAATTTAATTCATTACAAAAATAATTTTAATATAAACTTTTGTTTAAAAACATTTTTATTAAATATTATATAATGTAAAAGCCACAAAAAATACACTATATAATATTTAATACAAATGTTTTTAAACAAAACTTTAAGTATTTTTAGCTATTGCATAATATTATTGCAGTAAGTAAAAAAAAAATAGCGATAGTTAATGCCAGTTTGCGTTCGTAAAGATCAACGTTAAAACGTGACCAATTAAAGTATTTGTAACAAATGATGTCGATTGTAGAACCAATGATATAATAGACAATACAAGTACAGAATACAGTGATTAATAGGTGTTCGATTCCGGCGATCGCAACGTGTCGTGACCGAACCTATTCCAGTATCTAATTATTCTATGCGGAAAATAATAGGCGCTATTTACGAGTATCAAGAAGTATTGTTTGACTACAAAGCGCCATAGTGTAATATAATAGGAACGAATGAAGTCTGTTAATCATAAAACTGAATGCAACATCTCATCTGTTTGAATATCTAAGTAACAATATGTTTTGATTTATAATGCGAGATAGAAATTGAATAAGTAAACTTAGTAAAGAGCATGTTTGTTTTATTTTAAGATGAAACGCCATTTACAATGTTTATATACCAAAGATTGTTTTTCGAAGTACTCTCGGAATTCTCATATCAGCGGGACAAATAGCTGTTAATAATATATAGCAATACCTGTTAATTGTAGTTACAATATTTATGTATTGACCCAATATCTGATATATTGAATATCAGTTAGGTATGTAATATGGAAGTAAAGAATTTGAGTAAAATTAATATATATCTGACTGCTATGGATAATATCGAAATGGATGATGGAATTTTTTCGTCATCAATTATCAGAGTAACTAATTTATCCAATATATAAATATCGAAACGCTACTGATATTAGCCAAGTCTACTCCAGGTTCTATATTTTGTATTAACTTTTAAAGTAGAAAAAAGGATAGAAAATAGCCTATAGCTGTCTCCGTCCCATATGTACACCAAATTTCATAGTGATTGGTTAAGCCGTTACGGCGCTATGAGGCAACAAACAAACAAATTCATTTTCATTATCTTAAATAATGATGCTATTTAATAAAAAATAAAAAAAAGTTTCCTTTCGCCAAATTTAAGATATTGTGACGGTACTTTAGTATAGTTGGAATTGTAAATAAAGCAAAAGTGATTACAGAAGCAATGAATTTATACTTAAACAGGTTAAAGGGTTAACATTCTGAAGACACTGTGCCTCGACAGGTATTCGGATACATGAACTCTGACACATAGCGAGCGTGCAATAAATCTTGCGCATACCTGTGATAAGGTTAGGGGTATATAAAATGTTATCTCTTAAAGGGAATACAAATTAACGAGGTTGTCTACATTTTATTGCTTGACTGACTATGAAATGAGGATAATGTTTTCAAATGTATATACGTATATGATCTGTAACGTAAAATACGACTTAGACTTCAAGAATTAATAAATAGGGATAATGTGAATGACATCAAGGATAGCACTTATTTTTTATTTATACGCTTTTGTACATTCACTCATAGAAGGTTATATAAAAATGTACACAGACGAACTTATCCCTTAAAAGGATTCCTTTAAGTCAACCTTGAGAACCCGAAAGGAGAAAGTATTTATAGGGTTTGTATATAAAGTATTATTAATGTGACAAGGAGTTTTTTTATTACGTTTTGGCGCCTTAAAAATGCTTTATCAATAAAAGGCATATTATACGAGTACACAGTATTTTGAAAAGAGAAAGCACAGAAGAAGAGAGGCACAACTAGACTAAAATAAATGTAGCCGACATAAACTGTCAAAAACGGGTAATGTTTAACCTCAGAATTTAACTGACTTTAACAGTCGCGTTTCTGTCATATTCAGTAATTTTTAATTGACTGCATAAAGGAGGTTCTTAATGCGGTTGTATTTTTTTATGTTTATTACATCATAACTCTGTTAGTTGTAAACCGATTTCGAAAATTATTTTATCTGAAAGGATGTACTTACAGATTGGTTTTATAGAAATTATAGTTCAGTTTTTAAATCAAAATAACTGGTTTTTTACTATTGATTTTTTTGGAACTCAATTTAATTAAGAGTACATATTAGTTTAACTGAATAAACCTATTTAACAACATTTTTTCTTAGACAGAAGACTTCACAATTAATAAGGTATTTTTAGTTTTAGGAGCTAGGTCAAAGCATAAAAATGTGAGGGCCGTGCGACCTGCTTTTTCTTCTGTTTCTATGAACAATTAGCACTAAAAGATTTTTTTTTTCTGTTTTTTTTTTTTTATAATACTTATAACAGCAAACAAGATTTATAAAGTTTGATTTGAATATGACCAATAAAAATAAAAATATAAACTTTATGTAAGCTGAAAAGTCTATAAATGTATTTTTAGAAAATATTACTTACAATTGTCTATTTGCTTAGTTTTATTGTCTGAACAGAGTCTGCAGATTACAGTACAAGATATTAAATGTATTTGCGTTTGCATGTAGAGAGGACATTTATTTTGATGCGTTTTACATGCGGTCGACGCTGGCAGCTTGGCGCATTCCATTTCACTCCCGATTCGCCTTAAGCATAAATTGCCAACTGTGGTAAATCCATCGAGTATCGTATGTGACACACGCACATACACACACCACGTAAAATATCGCTCGTTGTAGAATTTGTTGCATAATATTATATTTCTTCGTGGTAAAATCAAATTAATTACTTTACTAATTACATATATCCAAATTTAGAATTTTATTGTCTTCATTAATCGAAATTATTTCAGAGTATGCTGCCTTCGAATACACAGCTATAAAAATCTTAAAAGAAATGTTTTTATTTCTTGAAATCTCTCAACGTTTATGTAAGTTGGTATATTTATAACATTTCTGTAATGAATAGAAGAAATGAACATAGTTAACTTCATATTTACTAAAACTGTGTTTAAAAAAAATTTATCCTGTTTGATAAAATTCATGACCTATTTCTGCGTCAATTACCTCTAAATATAGTCAGTGGTTTATGTGTGATTGAGCAAGAACATCAAATTTCCCGAACTTTCACATTTGTAATATGAAGCTGAACTGCATTGGATGGACACAATTCCTACGTGTATTGAAGGCACTGTCCTCAGGAAACTAGTTCCATATAAAACAGATAGTGAGATTGAATAGTATCGGATCGCAATAAGAATTGCACAAGTGGTGCCCATTGTGAGCCGGCCTTGGCTCCCTGAGGGACCTGCGCACGCGCAGCGCTGTGGGTGGCGGGATATACCTGCACCTATAGTTATGCACCAAGTATTTACGATTACTCGAATTCGAATGAAATTGTTTGTGTCAACGGAATAAACATTCGCTGTTTTTTATTGCTAACAAAATCGTTAATAATTTAATTTGATTGCTTTGAGCTGGTGTGATTATTTTATTTTTAAATGCAAAGTAGAATTTAAAAGACGAGATAAGAATAAAATAAAAAGTTACTGACAAAGATTGAAAAGATGATGTAGTTTTGGTTGGGTCATTTAGAAAGTATGGATGAAAGAAGTATTCTTAAAAATAAAAATATATCTAACGTCATTGAGGCATATGCCGCAAAGGATAGTCCTAGACTTATTTTCATAAAAATAGGTCCCAGCACTGAGAAAGACTCTATTTACTAAAAGTAAAAACTAGTTAAATTATATTAGAAGAACTAACAACATTATATACACGATAAATTAATGGGAGCTACGATGAGAACGAACAGACTGCCGATAGTAAAAGAGATGAAGAGTTCTGGTTGGTTCTGAGTATTTAGCAATCAACCGACTCTTCCTACCCAATCGTAAAAAGGCTAATATAAATGACCTACGTTTGCATGTATTATTGATGATAGTAACAGTAATATTAACAGTAAAAATGCCCAACTATTTACATCCAAAACAATATTAATTAATCGTGAGAATATATATTTTAAAGATGGTAAAATTTAATATACAATTTGTATGTTGTGAAATAATTTATATGAAATATGATTCTGCGTATGTCTACCACACACGGTGACAACATAATACAGTAAAGTTATAAATGAAGCTTATCATAAATACTAAAGTAAGCGCGCATGAGAAAAAACAGTCGTAAAGTGCATTATAATAACACAGACGTTAACTGGAGTCGTGGTTGATATACGAGTAACTTTGTAAGTAATTATGTCAGATAATGCAACTGAAAATATCTATAACGTAAGTACTTGGCGATTTCAGACGAGAATATCTCAAAAAAATAGAGGTATTTCAAGGTTTTTTTTAACATAATAATTAAAAAAAAAAATGACGATCGTTGTTAAAGAAACAGCTTTTTAAATTTGAAATGTGAGTCTATTGTACTACGTATACT